GATAGGGTAAAGGAGAGCCTCATAGCACTGACCAGTTGAGACAGCATGGAAATCTCCCACCACAGAAATTCAGTCTTCATCTTGGTCAGTTGAGGGACAAGCTTTCTTTTCTTTCTTTTTTTTTTTCTTTGGTGGTACTGAGGTTTGAACTCAGGGCCTCGTGCTTGCTAGGCAGGCTCTACTGCTTGAGCCACACCACCAGCATCTTGGTCAGTTAAGAAGCAGCTTCATGGACACATATTTGTGTGGACATGAAAAATGGCAGACCCAATGCCTGTTAACTAGTCATCCCATGAAAGGCATGGAGGAAATTTAAATAATACTAGTAAGTATTAAGGGAATCCAAAACTGTGGAATTCCAACTATATTACATTCTAGAAAAGGAAAAACTATAGGGATAGTAAAAAGGATCAGGGTTTGCCAGGAGTTGGGACAGGAAGGAGGAGAGAATGACCAAGCAGAGCAGGGTGTGTTCAGGGCAGTTAGATTATTCTATATGAATCTATAAAGGTGAATACATGTTATACATTTGTGAAAACCATAGAGTGCACAACACCAAGAATGAACCCTAACTCTGCACCTTGGGTGATGATGAGCCAATGTAGGCTCATTGATGGAATTGTAACAAATGTACTATTCTGGTGTGAGACGTTGGTAAGAGAAGAGGCTATGTACATGTGGGAGTAGGGAATAAGTAGGAACTCTCTGTACTTCTCAACTTTGCTATGACCCTAAAATTGCACTAAAAAAAGTCTATTTAAAAAAGAACTATTAAAAGTTCTATCTCAGATCACTCTTTCCTTTAATTAAATTAAATTAAAAAGTGCAAAACTGGGCCAGGAGCCATAGCTCATGTTTATAAACCTAGCTACTTGGAACATGGTGAAAGAAGGATCCCAGTTTGTGGCCAGCCCAGGCAAAAAGTTAACAAGATCCTGTTTCAAAAGAACAAACGTGTGGTGGCACACACCAGTAATCCCAGCTACATGGGAGACTTAGGTGGGAGGATTGCAGTCTGAGGCTGCCTCAGGCAAAAAGCATGAGACTTTATTTGAAAAATAACTAACACACAAAGGTCTAGGGGCATAGGTCAAGTGGTAGAGCACTTTTCTAGCAAGTTCAAGGGTCTGCGTTCAAACCCCAGTAACCCTACTCTCTGAAAAAAGTACAAGACTTGATATGTAGCCTTTCCTTAAAAAGGGCATGCTTTAATTACCAAGTTATATAGTCCTATCATCAAGATTAGCTGTCCCACTTGTGGAACTCACTAAAAAGTGAAGGGACCCTTGTTTAAAACACTAAGAAGATCAAAACTGTGGTGACAGATCAGTAAGCCAAGAGAGGAAGGGTGTTTGAGAATGCACAGGCCACACAGCCAAATGGTCCTGCATACCATCAATCCTGAGAGCCTGGAACAGCTCAGATGGGAGAAAGCGAGGGCAGAGGTGCTCAGCATGTGCTCTACATGGAATCACTGGTCTCTTACTCCCTAGAAAATGGAGTACTTCATAAAATATGCCATCACACAGAATGCTGTGCTCAGTGTCAGTGTGCGGGGTCCTCCTCACCCTGTCAGGTAAGAGCTCCTTCATGCATGCTTTACAACTAGTGTGAGATTGCAGATATTCTGTACAGAAAGACTCAGTGTCATGGGAATACAGAGTTGAGATGGTCAAACTTAAAGTCAGGCAAGCAAAATAGAAAAGTTCCCACAAAAATAAAGATACAAGTAAAATGAAGTCTATTCATCCAACGCCACTGTGATGGGCAGCTGTCACAAGTGAATCCTTCAGATACGTGGAATCATATCTTACCATAAGCATCACTGCATGTCTTCTTGTCAGGAAATGACTAAGAAGATCAAAATTTAGCCAATATGGCCAAGACATGGTAACAATTTAGTGAGCATACTTTGCTAATAACTGTAAGGCCCCTTTTCATCCATGCCAATGTTAGGCTTTTCACATGAAGGTCCTCAGGCACTGAAGAGTGGGTGGTTATTCGCCCCTTGATAAAAAGCTAAGCTACTCTGTTTTTCATAAACCCAAGATTCCAAGCATGGGTTTCCACTGGGGCCAGTGTGCCACTCTTACCAATATTGCAGTATAGGCCCTCAGCAGGAGTGGGAGGGCAGGGACTGGAATCCAGTGAAGAGCTTTGGCTAAACACCCCCTCACCCTTTTGCATTCACCATATAGAATCAGCATGGGCTGAGAGACAAGCTGACCTGTATTTCACACATCCTGGCAAGCCTGGCTGGGGGCAGTGGGCTCCTGGTAGAGAGCCGAGTGTCTCAAAGGACTCGGGTTGTGAGAACTTGTGCACCTCCAGGGGCCTTCACTACCCTTCCATCAGGACAGCTATGCCCTTGGTGACAGGATATTCAGGCTGCTTCATCGTGCCACCCCACGAGAAGAGGTGCATGCTTCTTGGGGTGGCATTAATAATGACTCTGTGTGTCCAGAACAGAGTTAGATGGGGAACTTCTGCATGCTTAAAATCCTAATCAAAACAAAGTCCACCTAAATTTGTGACAAACTTGTAGCAAAATAAAAGGTTTTCCTGGCTGGCTCACGTAAACAGATTTGTACATGTGCAGACCAAACAAGAAAAGCATTTTTTTAAGCCTAATCTTTGTTGAACATTTAACAGTCATGCCTTGTTCCATACATTTTACATATGACTCATTTAATCCTCACAGTCTCTGTTTTACACCTGGGGAGACCGAGGCATGGTGTGACTTGTCCAAGCAAGCTCGGGAGGACAAGAACCAGGCACACTAGCCGTGGAAGCAATGCTCTATATGTTTACTACTTCACGGATGCATGGAACCTACTCCTACTTACAAACATGGCTGAGAATCAGAGGGAAAGAAAGGCTCAGGTTCAAATCATGGCAGATGTTGTATGAGCTATGTGACTTAAAATGCCAACCTCTGTTTGTTAACAATTATCATCATCTTAAAAGGAAGAAAGTAACTTGTCCAGGGCCTCAAAGCTACACACTAAGCTGGAATTTTATTTCAAGTGGCTCCCATGCCGATCCTTTTTTCTACCATTCCAAGTCAATAAACCTAAGACATTGCATCTGGCTTTGACTTTGTCATTGCAAGCCAAGGGGGTACATTCTACAAAGGGTAGCGATTCCAGAATGAAACCAGTAGGTTGGTTTCGAACTGTGTCCTAATTTTCACAGTGACCTCCCAAGTAGAGGCCTAGGAGAAGAGAAAATGGTTTGTTTCAGATGTGTCACTTAGCAGAGATATGAGACAACATTGTTCAAGAAAATCCAAACAGATAATACACTTGGGAAAGTGATATTTGTTTTAAATTACTAAAAAGAAAAAAAAAAAAAAAAACCAAAACAATGTTTCCACAGAGGTAGGGTAACCTAGAAAAAAATTTTTCTTCCTGAAAGGGTTTTGTCCAGCTGAAGGAAAAAGAATTAAAAAAAAACATGGAATCCAACAAAAGAGGAACACAAGCAGGGTGGACCTTGTTCATATTCTTAATTAATCTTCTTGGTCAAATGGCTTACTAAGTGAGAGACAGTTCTATTCAGAGATAAGCCAAGCATATGGAGATAGACTCAGAAGTTAACAAGTGGTCTAACCACATGCCTGATTCTGAAGTCAGGAAATAAGCCTAGAGAAATCAGTCTTCAGTTTAAAAATCAAACATAACTTGACAGTTTTTGTACAAAAGATTAACTAAAATGATAATTTTAGCAAAGAATTCTGTGTGTATACATGAGTCACTTACTCTCTTACAAATTTTAATGGTATTAACTGTATGATCTTTCCTGCCTAGGTTTGGAGTGGGCACTTGAAGAAAGAGAAGAGGCAAGGAGAGAGAAGGGGGACAGAAGAAAAATTAGGCAAGGGCTTAGGAGAAAGGGTCATGGTTGAGGCCAGGGAAAAGCAAGGACAGCTCTGAGATGAGGGTGCTGCTTAATTCATATTCTATTCTTCACCAGTAAACTCAAGATTATCCATCTCTGAGATAGCTTAAGTATAAAATAAATCTATGCATGACAGATATTAATCTCTCATCATTATTATAAGTATTTATTGAATAACATGTGTAGTAGCCCCTATATCTCCTTCACTGCTTTTTAAAAAATGAGAAATCCCTTCTGTAAACCAGTAGTAGAGATGTGATCTGAATTTTTCACTAGGTAGATGTTAAGAGGTACTGCATTTTAATAAATAATAATGTAATATCATATGTTGAAAATAAATTTATTTAAGGAAAAATACACCATATTTCCTTGCTTGACAAGGATATATGGCAAGTTTTGATATTTTAAAGCTTAAAAAAACTCTCCACCCTAATGGAGGCTAATTGTTAAAATAAGTGACCACTGTGCGTGTACAGCCAAGGCTTAACCCAACTGAAAAGGTATCCAAATGTTCTGTTTCCAATTCAGCCCGCGGACTATGCCAACAGTCACTTCATACCATGCTGAAGAAGAAAACTCCCTGAGAGCAGGCCATACTTCAAAAGGTCTTTTTGTTGAACATAAGTGTAATCTCTAAATGGCTTAATAATTCTCCAGCTTGAAGTCTTAATTTGGCATCACAACCAACTACATGTCTGTGCAGACCATGGATTCACAAAGGTCTTCAAACCCAAGAACCACTTTTAAAACACATCTTTACCTGACAATAAACACACATCTTTCAGTACAGGGCTTTAAACATCCTTGGTTTTCACACTATGAAATGGGGCATAAGGGCAAAATTCCATCCCAACATTATCATGTCATAAATTATCAAACTAATAGAGAATTTCATTATCACTGCTCAATTGCACTCATGCCTGTAGGTCTATTTTTCATCCTCAAACTTATAAAAAAAAATAGCTTCAGGACTTTGGTCCTCGTTAGTCAGTTAATGTCAGTCTTCTTTTCCAACTCTTTTGGTATTGCCGGTCTGTACCATCTGGGGTTCCTCTGAATTCCCATTGGTTAAGGAGGCCTGAAACAACTGTCTTTAGCAGAAGGACTTCAGTTAATAAGTATCAAGTGGTCATCACTTCCTTTCCTGTAATAAAAATAGGGAGGAAGAAGAGAAAAGAAAGCAATTATTTAAAAATATTTACAAGAAAGAGGAACACTATACACTGTATTCACACATGGGTGATGTTGATGAAATGTGTAAGACAAAAAGGAGAAATTTACATTATTTGAGGTTGAAGTAGATGCTTTCAGAAACAACTGTGAGCAGCCATCCAGCTCTTAGGCCCCACCACCCCTCTTCTTTAATGAAGCTTTATCAGTGGCCACAGGGCCAGCTTCCCTAGTCTACTGTAGTAGAGAAGGGGGAATTTTAACTCACATTTGCTCAACCAAGCACCCCTCTCTAAAGAACCACATCACTTTAGGCCTGGAAGAGATTTCAGAAGCCACCTGGCTCACTCTGATGACATTGGTGGAACCAAGGGATTGAGGAGAGGTTGTAGGATACACAGGACATACTTGATAGTGGCAGAATCCAAACTGAAAACCTAGGTGTTCTGATGACCAGGTGAAAGATTCCATCAAAAATTCAGTGTGTGTGGGTTACCAGACTGCTTTGTTGAAAAAGGGCAACCACATTCATACCCTGCAGGAAGCAGAGCTGAGATGAATGGATGTCATCTTATAGCCTTTATCAGTTTCACTGCATCCTTCTATTCCTAGCCTTGAAGCACACAAAGGCATAATTTTTGATGGGGCCGATGCCAATGTCATCTCATCACTTGTTCTCAAGGTCCCACTGCAGTCCATTCCTTCTCAGTTCTGTGACTTTCCCAACCTCTCTGCAGGGTCCAGCCAACCATTCTGGCATCTAGCTTTGGTTTGATTGTTAATGGCAATGGTGCAGCCTGTGATCAGAAGATTTCCAAATTCTTTGTGTCCCATATGGAAGAATCCATGGCAGGACATGTAGGTATAATGGAGTTAAAAGTTAGGGAGGGAAACTACAAAAGCGGGCATGGTGGGACCAGGTAGAAGCTGGAAGCAGGGAGTCTTTTCTTTTCCATGTGCTTTTAAAACCTTTGCTAACCTATGGGAAGGGAAGAACCTGGTGATTTCCAACCAATAATTGTGGGGTGAGAAATGGGCCAGGTGAAGGTGGTTTGAGTTGTTCCTGACCTAGAGCGTGAATAACGAGCCCACAATTTGCAATTGAAAAGAAGACTCTGAGAAAGAGAGGAATGTTCAATCTGAAATATAATATTAAGTCATATTTTCTAATAGTCGCAAACTTTCCCTAATTCTTGCCTACCTCGTTATGAACCCCACTTACACCACTCCAGCTGACTTCACCAATGACCAACTTTGGGTCAAACATGGTAACAGCCACTTCTGTTTTTATATTTTCTATGCTCTTTTTCTTTCATCATTCTAGTTCTGCAGTTGATTGCCTTGGTGGACTGTCTTGTTCTCTTTAATTCTTTCATTCCTCATAATGGACACACCCTCCTTTACACAATGCATCTTCCAAACAACCCCTTAGTGCACCTCAGGGCAATTGTCTGCTGTTGTGGCTTCCTTCTCACCACCCAGGCCCAACCTTAGCAATAAAGCTTCCAGCCCAACCCTTACATCTTCCATTATTCAATAAGGCTACACAAGAAAACACTTAACAGCCTTCTCTGGGCTTTCTGTGATGCAAAACAAGGTCCAAATATGAAGTAGCAAAGACCATCAGTTACCTTTGAGAATTCACAGCTACATTCTCCAATGAAATTTCTTCCCTGTTACAGTCAACTACAATAGTAGCAAAGCAACTCTGAGAGACTTTCCTTATTCAGGCTGACTCTTTGGAGACAGCTGCTAATTAAGAAAAATTAATTTCCCTTTACTCCAGCTTCCACAGCAACAATTTAATGCTCTGAGAGGATGAAATGTGATTCTGAAAACTTAATTCTTCTCAGAAGACCTCTTTTCATATTTACCAGACATTCTTTGGATATGCTCAATCATAGCATTTCAAATCCCAAAATGTGGTATGAATTGATTAACAGAAAAATACATCTTGTGGTTCTAAGTAGCAATTATGCGCTCCATCTTCCTTTAGGAATTTGACTTAGAGAATCCTTCTTGAAAAACAAGGGTAGGGTATAAAATTCCCATCCCTGACTTCAGATGAAAACACAGATGGGCACGTTTAAGAAAACTGCCCCCATCTGACTCCCACTCTAGTTCCCAGACCACTGAAGTCTCGGCCATTTTCCTAAGAGCCCAAATGGTAAGAAAAGCCCTGCTGGTCAATGAAGACCTACTGGTGTCCACTTCCAAAAAAGAGCTTCACCTCCTTCCAGGCAGGTTTCTGCTGGCTCAAGGAAGCCATTTGCACCACATACTATGAGAAGGGAAACTGTTTGATATTCCCAGAACGCCACATCCAAAAACAAGCTCTGATCTCTTCCTTTGGCAACTTAAGAGTTCAGCCTCTCCACTTCAAGGACATAATTCATACCTTCTTATAAGGGTCTCACAATATCCCTAAGAGATGTGAGTCATGTCACGGAACCTTGTACACAACCTTGTTTTACAAGAAACAATTCATTTTGAAAGCCAATTTTGGTGAGAAGAAAGAAATGAAAGATGAACTTTGTCCCATAACAAGCTGATTTCAGAGTGTAGTGGTAACCTTGGATCAACTCTTCCTTAAGGCAACAAAGCAGCTCTCATCTCGGTAGCATGGAGATTAAGCATGATACTGACCTCAACAGACAGCAGGCGCGGGACAGGAAGGTGGAGGGCTCTCTCTGATACTCCTCCTTACTACTACATTCCTTAAGGAATTCCTGCAGATCCGTTTCAGGAAACCCATTCCGCTGGTATTTCTTTTAGAAAGCACACAATGCTGTTACCTTCTTTATAAAGCATGAGAAATTACTCCCTTTATCAATAAACCAAACCCACTTTTACTAAAATAAAGCTCTCCCCCTCTGCTTATTCAGATCCAATAAGTAATATTAGCAATGATAAATCAATTTGTCAGTTCCAGAAGAGCCAAGCCAGGGCCACCATGGGAACAGAGAACAATCTAAAGGAAAATTCCAGAAAAAAAGCCAGTGGGAGAATGGGATGGGGAGGAAGGAGGGGGGAATGTTGAAAAGAGGAATGAAAGAAACAGTCAAAATAGAAAGCTAGAATTTACTAGTAAGACCAGATAAGATTTCCAACTCCACATTCTGCCAACCTAGAATCTGCCTGGGATGTCATCCACTTCTAGTCTTATGGAAATTGACTGCTGAATGGAACAGCAGACTTCCCCCAGAAGACACAAATCCCCCAGTATCTCCTCCCTGAATTCATGCTTAATGAGGTTACCCACCTCAATGCTGAGGCCTGCCCATGCACTGGGACACTGCCACATCAAAAATGAACCTCTGTGCAGGAGTGTGCAGTTCTCTGTCCTGCCATCTCCTGCTGCTGGAGCTGACCACTGTGCCCACCCACCTAAGCTGTAATCTACACCTTGACAGTGTTTGATTTTTCTCCATGACTGGCTTTGTTCTGAGTTAGTCTAGGAATGGGCTGAGCAGAGGATGATACCCAAAGGCACCTACAGGATACCCATTGTTGCTCAGGAACTGGGCCTGAAGTAGGGTTTCCCAAGCACCACAACCTCTACTATGGAGGTACCAGCACCCAAGTATATGAACTTGCTTCAAGCTAGAATCACTTCATCAGGCCCAGTCTGAAAGTGTACGGAACACATCAGGTAGCTTAAGAAAGTAGGAAGCCATTACTCTTTTTTTGAACTCAGGGTCTACATCTTGAGCCACTCCACCAGCTCTTTTTTGATGATGGGCTTTTTTTTCAAGATAGAGTCTTTCAAACTATTTGCCCAGGCTGGCTTCAAACTTCAATCCTCCTGATTTTTGCCTCCTGAGTAGCTAGGATTACAGGCATGAGCCACAGGTGCCCCTCCAACTTTCATAATTTGAAGGAAACCTGTACCACACAAGTGCCTGACAACTGCCATGAGTTATCAGGGTGGCAGTCACCTCACATCACTGAAAATTACCACCCCAAACCTAAGCTCCAGGTAGCCATGGGGGCAGGTGCCTCAGTCAGTGTTGGGAACAGCAGCCTGGCTGCCACACTCACCATGCTTAGGCCATCCTTTCCTGTCTCCTTTCTTTTTCCCACAGCACCTCCAACCCAGCCCACCCTGATCTGTCCCAACTAGGACAGAGATAATATCTTGAATGCACATTTAAAATTGGTCTCAGTATCTATAAAACCTCAAAACCTAATTAAAATGATAGCATTTAAGTAAAAATGTAGTATTATTCTAAGCTCCAATCTATACAGAATTTGCAGTGTTTCAAGCAGCAAATATTGATAATTACTTACCTTAATAGTGTCATAGGAATCTGTGATAAGAGCAATGAAAAGGCTGAGAATCATGTATATAAAGAGGCTGATGAAGGAATATAAGTAGAGACGGCTGAACAGCCACACTAAGATGCTCTTCTGCTGGATTTGAGCAAAGGTTGCAAACATGTCATCCCCGTTGACCAGAGAAAACAGGCACTCAGCAACTATGTCCAGGCTTTCAAACTGTAGGGGAACAGAAATTAGCTTCGGAGAGAAGCATCCTACAGAGCAGAACGATGTCCCTAGCTTGTTTAAGTTTTGCTTGTTTGTTTTATGCCAACAGTGAAAATAACCTATTCAAGATAGCTAGACCACCACACAAATAGGAAAAGATTATTCAACCCCTTCCCGCCTTGCATTCTCAAAATAATCTCAACATCTCTCTTCAGCCTCTTCCTATGTACATTTTACATATTGGTGCTCTCATCATCCAACAAATTTGGATTCTGAGTTTTTTTCATCTTAACCCAAGCATCTTCTGTTATTCACACATAGAGAGCACTTGTTACCTAACAGGCAATTTCTTGGAAATTGCTGGTCATGCCTGCTTGTCATTATACAGCACAATGTAATGAATATTTCTATGCATGTTTTTTTCCTGTTGGTGAGTCTAAACAGTTAACATTTGCAAGGCTACCCTGTGACAAACTGCTTTCTGAAAATACTGCAGAGGCCATACACTGGAACAGCAACCTATGGAAGAGGCTGGATAGAACCCAGGATCAAAAAGGTTTGCTACTACTTGGGAGGCAGAGATTAGGAGGATCACAGTTCAAGGTCAGCCCAGGCAATAAGTTCAAGAGACCCCATCACAACCAGTGGCTGGGTGTGGTGGTATGTGGTCCAGGTTGCCCCAAGGCATAAAGTGAGACCCTATCTCAAAAATGACTGGCAGCGTAGCTCAAGTGGTAGAGCACCCACTTAGCAAGCATGAAATCCTGATTTCTACTGCCGGTACTGCCAAAAAAGTTTTGCTAAGTGACTTTTTCATAGCCTTCCCAGCCACATGTCCAGGTAATTTTAGCACATTAAAAAATAAAGATTGCCAGGCGCCAGTAGCCCGTGCCTGTAATCCTAGGTATTCAGAGGCAGAGATCAGGAGGATCTCAGTTTGAAGCCAGCAAAAGACAACTTAGTCTTCAGAAACACAGATCAAACAGGTTACTATAGTGTTTTGAACCAAATTCTGCCCTTGCGGTCAGTGCTTATGTGTTCACTAAGTCAGTGTGGCTCTGGGGAGACTCAAGGCCTTATGAACATCTGGAACTTCTTCACTTGGGAGTTGTGCTATTACTTCACAGGCAACAAAACAGGCCTACCACCACCCTATCCAGAAAAGAGGTTTTCCTTCCAAATTCCTCTGTATCTGGCATTGACTCCAATCTTCTACCAAATAAATATTTACTCTATAATAACCAAGGAATGAAAACTATACTGACTTTGCTAATATTCCCCTCCCTTCAGTCTAAAGACTGTCTGTTCCTATGACATATTTTTCTGATCCACTTTTCTCTTCCACTCTGATGTCAACTGATTATGACAGAAACCTCCAGGGAGGTCTCTCTGTGCAACCTCTTCATTCTCCAGTCCAAGCTGCAGTAAAACCTAGACTTCTTAGGAAATGGGCTTCAGGTCATTTCTCTTGCTTATGGCCAAAGTCTAGATGCAAAATTAAAACTCAAGCTAAGAAGGCTGGAATCAGTTCCCCTTCATGTGGTCTCACTGTTTTTCCTCCTCATCGGTACAAACACCTTGGGCTTGTCTTCTCCCCCAGCCCCAACCCACTTCTGTGTCTTTTGCTCATGGGGATTTTTCCCTTCATCTCACCTATTCTTCCTTCTCTTCTGTGTCCACGGAAGTTAAGACTAAGAGCTAGTTCAAAGTCTACTTCAAGACAGACTACACTGGCAGAGCTAGCCCCTTCGTGGTTCTCTGTGTCAGGAAGAACTACCACAGTAAACTATGAAATGGTCTTCTAATTGTTTTTTGTTCAGTTTGCTTTTTGGGGTTCTTTGATGTTGTTTGTTTGGTTTTGTGACATTTTTGAGGCAGGGTCTCACTATGCAGTCCAGGCTGGCCTCAAACTCAAGATTGTTCTGTTTTTTCCTCCCAAGTGCTAGGATTGCAGGTATGTGCCATCACACCCATCTTCTAATTGCTTTTATAAACACTTCTCTAAACCCCAGTCAGATAGCAAACACCATGTTTTACACTTCTTGTCCCATGGCTGGACTAGGAAAAGTAAAATTTGTACCCAAAGGAGAAGGTACACAAACAAACCCCAAACAAGGATCACACCCATTCCCTGCTAAGTCAACAAGTCTGATGAGCCAGCCAGATTAAAGTTGCTAACCATAGAGACCTGGATAAGAATCCAGCTGAGCAAATCCTGTAACAGTAGGCAGATCATTTCACAGCAAAATAGGCAGCTCCTAGTGTAAGTATTTCCCATCTTCTCCACTATATTTAAGACAGCAAAGTTAAAGCTGGCTTTTATAGATGTCAATGGTAGCAGTATCATAGTTCTCATGTTTTCTTTTGCAATCTAGTCAAGTTCTTTCTTTGGTTTCAAGAACCCCTAAGAGAGCTGGGCACCTGCTTCTCACACTTATAATCCTAGCTACTTGGGAGGCTGAGACTAGGAGGATCACAGTTCTAGGCCAGTCTGGGCAAAAAGGTTTCCAGACCGCATCTCAACCAATAGCTGGGTGTGGTGGCATGTACCTGTCATCCCAATCAGGCAGTAAGCTAAGACTGGGAAAATTGCAGTTCCGGGACAGCCTGGGAAGAAAAAGTTTGTGAGCTCCCCATCTCAACAGAAAAAAGCTGGGTGTAGAGTTGTGTGCCTGTCACCCCAGTGACAGAAGGGAGGTTGGGAGTATGGGGCTAGATGGAGGTGATGAATTTAACCAAGGCACATTGTAAGCACATATGGAAATGTCACTATGAAACAACCAATATATGCTAATAAAAATGTGGAAAAAGCAGAGTAAAAAGGTCTGGAGGTGGGAGAGTACCTGCCTTGCAAGTGTGAAATTCTGAGTTTGAACCCAGTACCTCAAAAAAGATAGTAAAGAGAAGAGAATGAAAGAAAAGAAAACAACCCCTAAAGGTTGTATTTCAGGTTTCAGAACTACAAGCAGCCCATTTGTCAGTACCTATCAAATTCCTGTCTTATGGACAGAACATCTGACTCAACATTAATGTTATCCATAACCATACACCTCACACCTGTGTGCACATAAGAATAATTTTAGCTCACCAGCAAGTTAAAACAGAGGCCTAATAAAGTGACGGGTGCCCACCTTCTCATGTTTGTACCACAAGAATTGTCTACAAAACAGTTTCAGTGGGCAAATATCATGGAGCTGAGCTTGCAGTATTTCCACAGAAGGTCTTAATGTGTTTCCAGTTAGAAGAACACATTTATAGAGCATTGTTTTGACATGTGAGGGCCTATAAGCCCCTGGAAGGCAGGTACTGCTGTCTCTCTTCGGTACACTTGGTAAGTACATGCCACGTTCTATGGCACCAGGCTGGCCACTGGGAATGTGAAGAGGAATAAGCCATAGTCCCTGCCTTTCAAGAACTCATCAGTGTACAGAAGACATTTAACAAATATTAAATGGGCATTTCCATAAAAGTGCCTGTACGTATTATAGGACCACAATGAGAACCCAAGAGTTCATTTCACAAATGATAATTTTGTGATTGAGCCAAAAGGAACTTTCATATAACCTGCAATAGCTTTATGTCAAAGAATGATGGAAAAGTTTGCTTCCAGAGTATGTCACAAGAGTCTTATGCAGCATTTAGGTAAAATGTTTTAAGTGGCTCACAATTATTTTTGAATAAGAATGATGCTTGGCTAAAACCAGAGTCTTTGGAAGCATCGAGGTGTAGTGCAAGGTCTTCAGAATTTTACTCCTGGCATCAGCAAAGTCCAACAAGTTTTTATTGCCTTGGCCTTCTGACTTGTAAAAATGGGGACAATGCAAGACTATTATTTATCCCTCATTGTTAAAAAAAACCCTCTGGAAATGTAAAAGCCACTTTAAGAGAAAAGTTTAATAATTCAAGATGAGGTTTGGAAGAATACCAACAGTTTCTAGCCCTCTATACCCAGACATCTTTGAAGGGCATAGTGCCAAGATCCATTAGTGCTGGAGACAAACATATCAGCAGGACACTTTTTGTTCCTTTGTTCCTTTTAGTTGAGTCACTGAAATTAGTTGTCTAACTGGAAGACAGGAAGCTAAAATGTTTGAGAGTCTGCCTACCTCTCATACAGTACAATTGAATTGTAATTTTCCTGACACTTCCTCATTAGAGTTGGTTTTTTTGTTGTTGTTGGTTTTAAATAAAGAACAGCCTTCACACTCAAGATTACTGTGATTCTAAAACTACTAGAAAATGCTAACATTAATGCTTAGGTTTTCAAGGGCTTGGGTAACACTGATGATTACCCAACAGATATTGGCAGTTTGGCTAGATTTGAGAGTGGTGGTGCAAGAGGCAGTAAAATTTTCTAACTTCTAATTCAAAGAAGCAGCAAGATGGAGCAGAAGAGCATAAAAGTCCAGAACCAGACTGGAATTCTTTCACTTTGCTGACTTGGGCATTTATTGAATTAACTCTACTATGTACTTCCTCAATCTATCAGCCTGGCCAGAGACAGAACGGGGTACCATAAACAGACCTTCTGGGAGACCCTAGAGACATCTCCCATCCCTTTCCTATCCATGGGGATAAAGGGAAGCCGACATTAAGTGAGAGACAAGGCAATAGGGTTTGATGTCCAAAGTGACAGTCACTCTCCATGTGGGACTCTTGAGAACCTGATATGTAACTTCTCCAAATGGAAATGTGTGATGAGGATACAGTAGACACTAGATTTCAAAGACTTAGCACACACACACACAAAGAATGAGATATTTGCATTGCTTATATGCTGAAATAATGTTTGGCTACACTTGATTTAGTAAAATATATAATTAAAACCAATTTTATTGGTTTATCTTTTATTGTGACTATTAGAATGTTTTAAAGTATACATTTGGCTCCATTTGTAGCTCCCATTACATTTTTATTGGACAGTGCTGGCCCAGTGCATCTGACTTTCCCCTAGATCCTTTGAAAGGACAAAATTGAACATATGGGAATTAGGTCAGGCTCACAAAGCAAAAAACTCACTTTCTATTAGCTGACCTTGACACACATTAAAAAAAATAAAACTGATTATGTGGTTTTTCTCTCACAGTTGATCCAGAAGGACTACCCTGCTTCCTGGGTCAAATAAACTCTTTTACAATGGTCTATTTTAGATAATATAAAGAAAAGCCCTACAGGTCAGGCAAACCAGGGTTTGAATGTTATCTTTGCCATTTATTATCTGAGTAACCTCAGATAACAAATATAAGGTTCCTACTTTCTGTAAAGTAGTATAATACTATTTTCCCACAAAGAAAGGAAGAGGAGGTGCTATCGGGTGGATCTCAAATGTCCTGTGAAAGCCTGAGTGTTGAAGGCTTTTTCTCGGGCTTGTCGCACTATTGGGCAGTGGTAGAACCTTTAGGAGGTAGGTTCTGAAGTCATCAGGTGTGTGCCCCTGAAGAAGTTATTGGGATCCCAGCCCCTGCCCCCTGCTTGCTTCTCCCTTTCCTGCCTGGCCCCCATGAGGTAAAGTTTTCCTCCACCACAAGCTCTTGCTGCCATCATGTGCTGTCTCACCACAGGCCCAAGTGACCATAAAATGACAGTTCTGAATCCTAGAGCTAACATAAACTTTCCCCCCTTAAGGGAGAGGAAGGGGGCAGGGGGGTGGGGAGAGATGGGGGAGAAATGGCCCAAACAATGTATGCACATATGAATAAATAAACAACAACAAAAAGATTACAGAACACTAAAAAATAAATAAATAATAAAATAAACTTTCCCCCCTTAAAAGTTGATCCTCTCCAACATTTTGTCACAATGACAGAAAGCTGGCTAATAGGAGGGTTAACACACAAAGAGAAAGAATTTGAGAACTAGGCCTAACGAATGGCACTTGAGAAGTCATTTCAGTAAAATTCAAGGAACATTAACTGAGCACCTTCCAGAATAATGATGAGGTGGGGAGAAACAGGAAGCAGGTGGCAAAGCCGATAGAACCACTTGTCCTGAGGTCTTGTGGGGCCAATGAATTAAAACCAAATCCTTAGGCTCCATATTTATTCCACAAAGTGCAACACTGCCCTCTGGTGACAAAGAGGTGGAGCAGCTTTCGGAGCATGAGACAAGGGGGAAAAAATGTGAATTTCCTTGGACACTATGACAGTAAATTCTCTAAATTAGAGATAGCATATCAAAGATGAATTTTTATTCATGAGTCATCTTCCAAGAAGTGACATGGAATTAAAAACACAGTAAGATTATCAAACTTTACCATTAAGCCAGAGGTTGTCATTTTGTTAATTCTACAGTATTTCAAGTAGGAAAAACAGGAATTCTCTTTGGACATATTAAATGTGACACTTAGAGAAGAAAGCCTGGGTGTGTTGGGCTACTAGATTTTATTTTGATAGGACAACATAGGAAGTGTGAGCTTCAGGATAATTTACTCTTTGTGAATAGTCCCTCACACACAAGCAGCAAGGATTAGTGGCTGTTAGTTTATTATTTCTGTTGCCCCAACACTCCCAGGCTGAAAAGAAAAATTATAAGATGCAATAACTCTTTTACCTTTGTGGTTTGAAAACAAGGTCCATTCAGTTTCATGATGTATCTAGTCACTGATTTCATCATTTTAAAACCAGAATATCCTGGCATAACTTTGACATTCCTGAGATTATAATGCTGACTAATGCTAAGCCATAGTTTGAAACTCAGATTCTGATCTTTAATAAGACACGAAGCTGATGCTGTGATCAAAACCACCTGCAAAGACATGTTCTCATTTTCAGAGATGAAACGGTCATTCCAGGCAGAACCGTCACCCACCTTCATTCTCCTCAGTTAATATGGCTGAAAACCCTAGTATGCTAAATTAGAAAGATTCTGTAATAATTTCCTCACTTTGACTTTTATTTTTACTATAGGATCTCATGTCCTAACAGCTCTCATTTGATGACGAGCTAGGTGAATGTGTGACCTGTAAGTCAGGCCCATACAACTATGACCCAAGACTTCTAGTCCCTTGCAGTTCTTGTTCTGACATCCTAATGTCACTTTAATACCCTGAATAGGAAAAGGAAACCGAGACCAAGCTATCCGCTTGCTGAGTCAAGGACGCATTCTGGAGAAGAGTGGGGAAGAAGGTAAACACTAGAGACCTGGACAGTGCCACACACCTTCTCGTGATACGGTCCTAAGACAATCCAGCCACAGAAAGTGTAACCCAGGTAAATCATGCCAGCACAAGCACAGAACCGGAGAACTTTGGGCAGTGAGGCTTGCATTGTTAAAATCAGCACCTGAAAAAAAAAAAAGGGAAATTAATAGAATGAGAGTGATGAAAAAGAAGCTTCCAGAACCCCCAAAAAGAAATGTATCCCAATCACAGGTTCTTCCCAGTGCCAACTGCTTACATTATATGTTTGGAAATAACCCAGGTATCTGATGACTCCAACCCAAACAAAGAGTGTAGATGTCCCAAGCAAAATGCTGCACAGATCATAATTTGTGAGATTCTATGGGGAAAAAAAGACAAATGAGTAAAACATTGCAGTCCACTCAGCTTACTTATTTCACTTTAATTGATTGGAAAGGATGGAATGTCTTCCTGTGGGAGCTACTAAGAGTTTTTAAAAAGAAGAAGAAAAATGCAGGTCACCATTCACATGTTTGTTTCTTATTTCCTTTTAATATTTCAACTGCTTAAACTGATTTTTCCCAACAATATTCTGAAATAGAAATTGCATTTACCACTGACCTAACTAATCTAAGCATTAAAAAAATATAAGCTGAGGATGTTTGTTAAAATATCAAACAATACAATTCAGCTATCCTAAAAGCACACTCCAACACGATTTATTAACACAGTTCCCACTCACAAGGAATTCTAGGTCTTACTGAGGAGTCAAACACAAGACGTAACCTCCTGCTTGTCCCAGAGGGTTTGCCATGGTGTGACCCCAGTTCCTTCAGGACAGGCTAGGGAAATCTTCACAGGAAAGTGGAAAAAGGCACAACACTGAGAACTGGCAAGTTATCCTGGAAGGACCAGGGTGGGGATAGGAGGCAGAGCTACAGGTAAAGCTGGATGAGGGAGATCCTGGAGGCCATGTTCAAGGAAGGCCATTTCATCCTAAGTAGGTCCTAGGAGGGAACAAGACAGACACTTCCAGAAAAATCACTTTGGCAGCTGTGCAGATGGATCTAAGGCTAAAGATGCCAAGCCAGGGAGGAAGAGGCCTGAAAGAAGCCAGAGGCAGCTGGGATGGAGACTGGGAGGCAGTATAACAGTGAGGAGGCCAGGTTAAGACTGACTACTGACACAGCATGGACAGGAGAATAGCTGAGTGAAAGAGGAGTCAGAATCTGGTTATGAGATCAAATCAATTTATTTATACAATGTGTCAGGTACCAGTATTCTTGCCTCCAACCCCATCCATCAGGGCATCCAATGTCACAGATCGTTACCACTGGCTCTGGAGGCGCGTTTGGGAAGTGACTGGTTTATGGGTCAACTGCTACTTTTTGCAACTTAAACAAAATGAAGCCCGACAACCAATCTATCGAAACTTCAGGTACTATTCTGAAGATGCCACACACTTCCTGGAGGATTTCATAGCTCACAGCATCCACAGTCCACCAGCTTCCTCATTTCCCTTCCTGAGGAACCAGGTGAGAGGAGGGAGGCCTCACTTTGTGGGTGTGAGGAGAAAAACCATGAGAATCAAGCTAGTCTCAGCCAAGAGTTTGCATCTCAAAATGCCCAATGTCGTCCAGAAAAATGCAAGGAACAAAAGATTTCAAACAGGGTGCCCTCACCTTTGCTTTAATTTCCATTTTTAATATGGATCCAATTATTGTCATGAGGTCGCTGATAATCACCAGGACATACCATCCACTGATGAACTCCCACTGGTCAGCGTCACACACATGTCGTTTGTACTTCTCCAGGAAGAAATCTAGAAATCTCTACAGCAAACATTTAAAAAGCATTTCTTACAAACCACACTGCCCTCTGGAAGGGGAAGGCAAGTGAAAACAGTGCTCTCGTCTATATGGCACGGCATTACCTTGTTCAAAGAGATGGGTCCACCTACTTCACAGGTGTAGGTGAGAGCATACCTATTCCCCGTCATCTGGCCCAGAAGTAAGCATCTGAACACCTGCTAAGTTAACTCAAACGCTAAATACGTGTGCTTGGACTCCAGTAGACTCTCACCAAAATACCTAACACGGGGCTCAGGGTATGGGCCAAGTGGGAGAGCACCTGCCTAGCAAGCGTGAGACTCTGAGTTCAAACCCCAGTTACCACACACACACACACACACACACACACTCACACACACACTCACACCAGCTAACACATAACACACAGTCTGTTCCATATGCTTTACATATTTTCAACTCATTCAAGCCGACCCCAACCCTATGAGCTAGATACTATGGGCCCTGTCATTCAGTGAGGGAACCGAGGCACAGAGAGGCTAAGCCAGGCTCTAGAGTGTATTCTCCCAATGTTGTTCCCCTCACTTTGGCAGAGACAGGCTTTTAACTTTGGATTCAGAATACTAGAGGGTTGTAGGGAAGATCAGAGAGGTGGATGTTTACAAATAAATTGACAAAAGTTAAGATCAAGGAAAACTGAATATCGACTATTTTCTTGCTCCACAAATGGTATTCCAATGACTTCCTACTTCCCCTCATCCCAGTGGGAATTTGCACACATCACCAGTCACAATAAGATCTGCAAGGAGCTGGAGTATATATTCATCAGAGCCCTGAGGGCAAAAAGGTAAAATGAAACTTAGGGGAAAATTTTTAACAATTTTAAAAATGTAATAAAAGTATTTTATGTTTCATTATAACCCATTTGCCATGCCTACTTGTCAAAATGAACTTGGATTTGAAGACAAAAATAAAACCTACACACACTATTACTCTGTTCTTAAGATCACTCCTGAAGTTAAAAGGGTCTCATTTATTCTACAAACATCTAAAAGCTTGAGAGTTCACCACTGTGCACCTGTACTTACCAGCTCAGTTTTTAGCAGGATAATTTTCGGATCCCAGGTGACACAGCCTCACTTCCTAAACCTCAGGCTAATTAGTGCCTCATAGCAGGCTGTCACTCAGTGGAACCCAGAAAGGACTCAAGGACCTCAGAAAGGATAGGGTAAACTAACTTCAATGTCCACTATTTGGGCAAACTTGGGGTGCAGGCCAAGAGGGTGGGAGGAGAAAATGCAAACACACACTTACCTTTCGTAACCTTAGAGCAAGAACAATGGACCGTGTGCACAGAATAAGAGATGCCAGACAAATCACAATGACAAAAGCATCAAACACCAGGACGTACTGAGTATTTTTCTGAGCTGAACAAAGCAGAATGCAAATATTAAAACCTCTCACTTGAGAATAATTACCAAGCAAAATGGCAGTTCTAAAAAGAAATGCAAATGAACAATGTTTGTCTATTTTAAAAATGAAATAGTAAGAAGTAGAAATAAATGATGCCACATTTGTTCCCGAATCCAGGAATAAGGTAAAACACCCCCTGAGTTGAATAGTTATACACTTAAAAACATCTGAGCTGTCAATAAAGGCACTAAAATTTATGCATAAATATTTACTGTAGAAGAAATTTCAACAGAATGTGATCCATTTGAGCTCTATTCAAAAAAGAAAAACTTCTAATACTCTCTGGATTGTTTGACATCAAAGCACAGACATTCAGTTTACAATTAATAAGAGAACAAGTTAAAATGCCACCACCCAGAAGCATCACTTCTGCTTCTCAGCCTCACTGTACTTTGCCAGCAGAAAGCACGATGATAAGGCCTTTCTGCACATAGAGAAAAATCCCTTCTTGGAATGGAAGTAAGGAGAGTGTGTCTTGGAATACACGTGGCAGAGAGATGAAACTGCAACCTCAGCTTCTCTCAGACTTCCTAGATTCCCCCATTTCAACCACTGCTCTCTCCTGCCTGACTCCACCTTCTCTATTCTGTGGATACACTGGTTTTCTTCCCTGCTTTCTGCTTTCATCTCAGGGACTTTGCACCTGCTGGTCCCTCTGCCTGAGACCAGCAACACCTCTCCCACACATACCTATGCTCAGATTATTCTGCTGTGTCTAGCATTGGGTTTCAGATTAAGAACTCCCTATCTCAGAACACAGTTCCCTAAATTCTTGTCTCTACTACACTTCCTACATTCTTTCATAGCACTGTCTATGACTATACTCTTTTTACTCTCCTCTGGGTGACAACCACTGAACTTAGAATTTACATCCTCAAAGACCCCATGGCCTGGAACACAGAGACAGGATAAAACAGGGAAGAACATGGTGCCTGGAGCCCAGGTTGGAGTCTCTGCTGTGCACTATGGAAGACTATGGGAGCCCAGCATGGTCATGCAGCCCTATAATTCTAGCTACTCAGGAGGCATGGATGTAGTGTAAGTCTGGCCTGAGCAAAAGTGTGAGATTCTATCTAATAAACAAACTAAAAGCTAAAGGGGATGAGGGCATGGCTTACGTGGTAGAGCACTTGAGAAAGTGCAAGTCCTTGAGTTCAAACCCCAGTACCTCAGAAGAAGGGGGGGTAGGGAGGGGGGAGGAGGAGAAAGGAAGGGAGGGTGAAGCAGTTTTAGGGAAGTTACCTAACCTCTGATACTGTTTCCTCATCTGAAAAGTGGGCATAATAATAATAAAACTTACATCACCGGGCTGTTGTGAGGATTATATGAGTTCAACTATGGAACAGCCCTAGGAAAATAACAAATCAAACATGCATAGCGCCCATATGTCATCATTCAATATTTATGTTCCCCACCAAATGATTGGCTCTGTGAGGCAGGGCCCCTGTGTAGTGCTAAATACACCTGGCTTGTAACACATGAGCCAAGAGCTTCAGACAGCACACAGGAAGAACACTAAAGAAGCTCAACGAGAATTCAGAATGGTTTGAACCAAGTCAGAAGCAGAGGACACATGGAGGCAGAGATGAGGAGAGTCACCACCTCGTCACAACTGAACAGGGTATAAGGACAGCCAAGAATGACTGCTGGTTTTTAGTCTTAAGTAAACTGAGTTCAGTCTGGATGATCAAAGGAGGCAAAAACCACTGGGTGGTAGAAGCCATGGGTGTAGACAGCCACACAGAGAACCAGTGGACTGGGCAGGATGGGGCAGGGAGCAGCAATGTTTGAGAATTAGAAAGGAACACGTGCTCAGGAACTACATGGATGAGAAAGGCCAGAGGGGAAAGAAACTGGACTGGGGATGGGGAGGGACAAGCATGGTGGCTCACACCTGTAATCCCAGTAATTCAGGAGGCAGAGATCCAGAGGCTCATGGTTCAATATCAGCCCAGGCAAAACATCAGTGAGATCCTTTCAACCAATAAACCGGGCATGACGGCATAGGAGCATCTGCTGGAACAGCACTGGCACCCTGTGCCCACATTTACCTCCAGCCAGTTTGTACTGGAGAAATTCAAGTCATCTTGAGATCTCACCTAATGGGTTGATAACAAAATGACTTCACCAAAATACAGACCTTCGCTTGGACCTACAAGATGAGGCAGAAGAAATAGGGCCAGCTCTTGGGAAGTCAGGACTGAAAATCTTATGAAATTCGAGGATAGCATGTGACACTTCCCCTTCTGGCCTATACTTAACAGAAATCTCTAGGACTGCTTGTATTGGGCCTCATTTACAGATAGGAATACAAGCAGCTATAGAAAGTAAGCAAGCCCTCCTAATAGACAATCCACTACTGCATTCTGTTTTTTTCTTGAATTATTGAGAAGACTAGTTTTGTGTGCTCCTTATGGAAATTGTCACCCTACAAACTCTGTCTTGGGTTTGGAAGACACTAGTCTAGAAAGATGCCCTGTCAACCTGTCTAGGGAAGTCCCACGCCCACTCCACCCTTCAAAGGCCTGAGATTCCCTATGCACACCACCACTGGGCCTAAAAAATACGGGCCTCTGACATGAGCCACCAAAACTTGCTAACCTGTCCTGTGAAAAATGTCATTTATTACCAGCAATGGGGAACCTATCAGTTCCTCCCCAAACTACTATATTTATAGAATCAGGTTAGATGAAAGTAGCAACACACTCCTGAGTCACCAAGGGCCATATGAGGCTGGCCTGTGAGAAGGAACTTTCCTCATGTTTTGCTTTGAGACAATTTGGTTATGACAAGGAGAATCAAGAAGCTGTATGGATAGGAAGGAACCCTTTAACTTTTTGGAAACAGCACAAGGAGCCCACCAGATGTCGCCCCAGCCTTTATTCCTGTACTTCCCCCAAACCCAGGGCCATCTCAGTCCCCAAGACAGCTTCATATACAAGAGGTAAAATCCATTTCCCAAACTGGTTTCTAAGCTTCAGCTTTTAAGGCTTTCATGTCTCCTCATTTTAAGTGCTAGTGATGCCTAGTTTCTTAGGCCACAGCTCTAGGAGAAGCACGTTTCTAAAATTTTAGGGATTTTACTCAGAGGTCTGGAAGGCTGCACTTCTTATGTTGACCACAGGAGGAAGTCAGAACTCCTTCCTCTGAGCAAAGACCAGGAAGCCCCAGTGTTCCAGGAAGGACTGCTTTGCGACACCTTCGACCCACCTGCTCCCTCCATCATTTGGACCTATATGGTGATTATCCCAAAATCATATCTTACACGCCACGAAGGTTAGTTTCTGTTCATAGAAAATAGCTGCAGTTTATACTTGAACTTGGAAAATATTCACCTGATCTCTTGTGTCTAGGAGAGATAGTGGTGTATACTAGAGGTGGGAGCCACTTTTAACAAAAACCTGTATTCACATACACAAAACTTTAAAAAAAGAATTCAAAGTCATCAGGTCATATACAACTAAAAAGTGGCAAGCCACAAATCCAATCTAGCTTCAAATAAATCTAAGACAGAAACCACAGATATTTTATATTTTTTTCATTCTGATAATCTGGTCAAAGGGAAGTTCATTTAAACAGAGTGCCAACTGAAAACATGTTGGCCATTCATCAGTGACATCACACGGACCCTTCACTAAGCAAGCAGAACAAGGTCAACACAACCCATTTTAAGTGTGTGGGCTAATGACTAAGTAAATGACCTTATGTTTTACAGGCTACAGACTGGCTGTGAGGCTTTGCTCTGCCCACAGCTTGGATCAAAACACACCTTCTCCAAAAATCACTTCTAGATCTCCCACTCTGCCCCAGTCAAACTTATCCTTTCTTTTCTTCTTCCTCAGATCTTCTTATACATTCCCACTTGTTCTTCTCTATTATGCATTAGGGATCTTATCAGCAGGTCAGTCTCTCTCACTAAGGCATTTTCCCTTTTCTTCATGGAGCCCAGCAATTCCTCAGCACCTGTTCTCCAGGCTTTTTTTTTTTTTTTTACTAACTCAATACTCAACATCCCAGAAGGCAAGTACTGTTATTAACCATGTTTTACAGAGAAAGATTCAGAGGCAGAGAGGTTAAGAAATGTGTCCAAGATCACAGGCATGGTAAACAAAACTGGGACCCAAACACAAGCAGTGTGGCTCCAGAGCTCCATCTCCTAACCACTGAGTCACCCTGCTCTCCTCAGAGGTTGGTAATAAGCGTTTGTTGAATTAAAGTCAGTACAGAGCTGCAGGACATCCTTTGTACAATCTAATGTCCAAACTACCATTTTCTGGAACCCATCCTTCCTATCACCATCCAACGCAACCACTTAAATGTTCCAAATCTCCAAATAAAGTGTGAAAAGTCATCCGGTCACCCACACAGGGCAGGTGCATAGCACACTCACTGGATCCGGATATGTTCAAGTCTTTACATTCCTCAAGGTTGGCGTCACTGTCAAGGTAGATTTTGATTTTGCCACTGTGAGCTCTATTGTCGAAGGTAATCTGGAGATACAAGCAGATCGAGAGGTTAAACCCTAAAGGAAGGAGGACTTGTTAGATCAACTCTGCTTTAAAAAATCAGTGGCCTCTCAAAAGAGAACCGTACTGATGAAAATGTCACAACTTTCAGTTATTAATGAAGAAATATAGGCTAAAGGATAAATACACAAATTTCTACTAAATCTCAGACTCCAGTTCTCTGCTTCAGAGAAATCCTACAGTAAAACACCAACCAGTTTCTCGAACTAAAATAAGACTCACCAATCTTTGGCAAAAGAACGCAAGGGCCTTCCTTAATCATTACACTGAATGGAATTTAAAGCATCTGCTTCAATTTAGTCCTTTGGCTATGGAAATTTAGGTTTTTTTACTTGACTGGAAATTCTTCTTCTGTTTGCATGAGCTATGTACTGTTTTTCAAAAATGACAGAATTTTCCCAAGGCTGCAGACTGTACTTAAGATGGCTGAGTGCTATTAATCGTCCACATTCTGAAACTTAAACTGATCATTTATCACTTAAAGTTTACAAGTGACATATGTTGAATGGTTCATAGGGTGGACACATGAACACCCTATAAATCCTTATAAATCCAAAGATTTATAAGCAAAGAACATGAAGAGCTGAATGTGTAGGTGACTAAACCCACTTAACACCCAGACACGGGTGAACACAAGCCAGGTTCTGTACAACCCAAAAATGTCACTAAGACTAAACCAGAAGCTCAAGAGTTGAACCCTTTTCTGTATGCATCAGCCAGGACAAACCTCCATAGTCGCTGGCAAAGGGTCTCTGTTCTCCCATAAGAGAGCCCCTAAAATATTTCCCTTGGGCCTTCAAAATCTTTTTTGTTTGTTTGTTTCTTTTTCTTTTTCTTTTCTTTTCTTTTTTTTTTTTTTTTGTAGTACTGGGGCTTGAACTTAGGGTCTATACCTTGAGCCATTCCACCAGCCCTTTTTTGTGAAGGGTGTTTTTGAAATAAGGTCTCCCAAACTATTTTCTCGGGCTGACTTCGAACCACAATCCTCCTGATCTCTGCCTCCAGAGTAGCTAGGATTACAGGCATGTGGCGAGCCTTCAGAATCTTAAGTGGACAGAAATCCACAGAACAAAACAAAAATGAAAAGCCAATTTGTTTTAGGTCACACTACTGACCATGTCATGACAAAGACATCAGTGACCTTGACCTTGAGGGGCCCACTCCTGCTTCCATCCTGGTCCACCCAGTGCTGCCTGCTCACCCTAGGGAGGGAAAGCATGACCTTCTCAGCCATGCTATGGTTTGAATGTAGTCTCCCAAAACTCACGCACTAGAAACTCAATCCCCAATGCAACAGCGATGGGAGGTGGGGCCCAGTAGGAGGGGATGAGGTCACAAGGGGTCTGCTTTTGAGGATGGATCAATGTCATCACCATGAGAGTGGGTTCGTTGTCTCAAGAGTGGATTATTTTTATAAAAGCAGCCCCTTATTGTTCTCTTGTGTGGCCTCTCACCACCTGATACCCTCTGCCATCAAGAAGACCCTCCCCAAATGCAGTCCCTCGGTCATGGACTTCCCAGTCTCTGAAACTGTGAGTAAATAAACTTTTATTGTTTATAAATTACCTAGTCTGTGGTATTCTACCATAGCAGCAGAAAATGAACTAAGACAGCCAATACTGCAATCTGCAATTACTTTTATTTCTGTACTTATTTCTCTGTCTTCTCTCCACTAGGCTGCAGGCTTCCTGGAGGCCTCCATGCCTCTAGGGCAGAGCAAAGTGCCAAGGATGCACCAGGGGCTCCTACTTATTAATTGTTGTTGAATGAAGCCTTCTGTTGAATTGATGAAAGACAGTACATAAAACTTCCAGCCAAGCCCTCAGTTTGGCCCTTCACACAGGGAAGGCAGGGAGGGAGAAAGGAAAGGAAGGCAAGAGAGAAGAAAGAAGAGAGGAATAGTGTTCAAGCAAGAAGGCCATTTACTCTGCCCCCAAAGGGGAACAGACTCTCTGCTGCACGTGGCTGACCCCCAAAAAGGAGAGACAACTGCTCCTTCACAGTCTGACCTTCAGATCAACGGTGTTGTTTCTGCCCAGAAGTTCAAAATATCTGCTACAACATTTGCGAGCACCTTCCTTTGAGGCCAAGGAAATGACTATAGTGAAAATACTCAGCAGAAGCATTCCTTTTATATTTTAGGAGAACTGGAGGTTAAATGTAGTTTTGAAAACTTCTCTTTTCAAGTCAGAAATCTGCTTTACAAACATGGGAAAGCACAGAGGTGTGGTCCCTGCATCAGTGATCCCATAAACGGTCACTAAAGTTGTTTGAAACCCAACTGCATCTGAAGTCTCCAGACTGGGCTGGTAGAGAGGCTCAAGTGGGAGTGCCTGCTTAGCAAGCATGAAGCCCTGAGTTCAAATCCCAGTACTACCACAAAAAAAAAGCCTTGAGGCTGGTGTGACTTATACTCTGCAGCTACAGAAGGAGTAGGGAAAGACAGAAAGTGGCCTAGTGAAACAAAGATACTTGCCGTGTTCCGAAAGACGTAACAGTCGGGCAGCTCTCGGGAGTGAATGGCCTGCAGGTCGATACCTTTGAGGTGAAAGGAGATTTCAACTTGTAAGAGCCTAAACAAAATAAAATTCAAAGGTGTTTGATAAAAGCGAGAGCACACAAGGGAGGGGTGAGGATAGGTAAGACACCTAAAAAATTAGCTAGCATTTGTTGCCCTTAATGCAGAGAAACTAAAGCAGATACCTTAAAGCAACTGAGGCCAATAGGAAAAGGGGACCAGGTACTAGAGAAAAGGTTAGATCAAAAAGAATTAACCTAGAAGGTAACACCCACACACAGGAAATCAATGTGAGTCAATGCCCTGTATAGCTATCCTTATCTCAACCAGCAAAACCCCTTGTTCCTTCCTATTGTTGCTTATACTCTCTCTACAACAAAATTAGAGATAAGGGCAAAATAGTTTCTGCTGGGTATTGAGTGGGGGAGAGAGGGAGGGGGCGGAGTGGGTGGTAAGGGAGGGGGTGGGGGCAGGGGGGAGAAATAAACCAAGCCTTGTATGCACATATGAATAATAAAAGAAAAATGAAAAAAAAAATAAATAAAATAAATAAAAAAAAAAAAAACAAAGGTGTGAATAGTCATAGTCTTGCTATTCTACTCCCCCTCCCCCACCCTCATCTCTGGGGAAAGGAGACTTGAAAACGTATTTACCGATAAAATTCCAGCCTGAAGAAAGAGGGCTGTATCTGGTCTGGAGGGCTCCCGGACAGCACCTGCAGGTCTAAGACGACACAGTCTAGGACAAAGGAAGAAGGGCAATGACTGTTTCAGGCAAGGATTAGAGGTGAAAACCAGGGATGCTCAGACAGTCTTAAAATATCTCCCCAAAATAGTCACAATCACAACCAAAAAAGCAGTAACCTTCCAGTGGGGAACCTGGGAGACACTACACTAATTGTGACCAAAGTTAACATCACCAGTCATGACATAGATGACCCCATGTGCCTCCTGCCACAGCCGTTGAGGACACATAGCTTGCATGGCATTTCTGTGCCAAATGCATAACCTCAGTCCAGTCATGAAGAAACAGTGAGGGATATTCTTCCCTTTAAAAATGTCACCATCACACTGGGGGTGTCGCTCGTGTGCCTAGCATGCATGAGGCCCCAGGTTCAGTCCCCAGTTCAAAAAAAAGAAAAAGGGCAAAGTAAATAAAAATGTCAAGATTATAAAAGAAAAACAATAAATCCGAGCAACCTTATCTGCTCCAGATTAAAAGAAAGCAGAAAAGACATGACAACCCAATGCAATACATGATTTTGAACAGGACCCTGGGGCGGGGGCAATTTTTCTTTGGTTATCAAGAACAACAGGATAACTGATAAGATGTGAAGAGCACAGTGCTGGGTCAGTGTGAATTTGTCATTTTGAACACCATACTTACGTTAGCAAGATGTTCTTGTTTGGGGAAAATACACCCTGACATATTTAGAGGTAAAGAAACAGCATGTCAGCCAGGCACTGATGATTCACGCCTGTAATCTCAGCTACTTGGGAGGCTAAGATTGGGAGGATTGTGGTTCCAGACCAGCCTGGGCAAAAAGTTGGAGTCCCCCTCTCAATGGGGGAAATAAAGCTGGGCATAGTGGTACACACCCGTTACTCAGCCACTAAAAGAACTCAAAATAGGACTGAAGTCCAGGCCAGCTTGAGGGGAGAAAAATGGCCAGACTATCACCAAAGTAGCCAAAACAAAAAGGGCTAGAGGCATGGCTCAAGTGGCAGAGCACTAGCTTCACAAGCACAAAGCCTTGAGTTCAAACCCCAGTATCCACACCCCCTCCAAAAAAAGAAAGAAAAAAAAAAAAAAGAAACAGCATGTCTATGCTTTCAGGAGAAATATTTACATATAGGAAGAATGGTAACAGCAGTTGTGAACAGTGATTTAAAAAAAAATAAGGTTAGTATCTGGGGAACAATGAAAAAAGATACAGGCTATTTTGTTCTGTTCTGTAACCTTTCTGCTAAATTTGACTCTTTCAAAATAAAAAAATAATAAAGAGAAAGGGACTCATATAGCATGGGGTAAAAACAAATTATAAGCCATCAACTAAGCAGAACCATAAAGATTAGTCTTGATAGTGTGTATCCCGATGCCCTTGCTTTCCAGGGCAAGAAGTAGGAGGTCTGGAGGCCAGGCCTGCCATGGGCACCGTGACCTGGTGGCAGAACTGGTGTGACTCCAGCCAGGCTGACTCTCCTGGACTAGGGTGTACCTTTAGACAGTCTGACATGGAGAAGTTGGGGCCTAGTGCAGGCCTTGCACCCAGAAGGCCTTCCAGGACAGCCACGCTCATTCCTTCAGTGTCATCCCACAACTGTGACTCCTTATTTGTTCACTTAACCCCTCAACTGTTTATTATAAGAATATGTACAGGAATACAAGAGCAAGAGTCCAACTGTGTTGCACCTTGTTAACACTCACTGCCCACCATGCAGCCAGCACTGGAAGCATGCCCCAGTATGTGGGAGACATTTGTATATAATAAAAATTAGGCATGCTGGACCAAACACAGGGCCACAGAGCTGAACAGACAACTCAGAGCAGCACAGAGCAATACAGATGATGTGGAAGCCTTGCGGGTTTTCTCCCTTAATGTACTGTTCGCTTAATCCTCAAAGCAACCTGTGAGATTCTACAGGTGAACAAAGCAAAGTACTGAGAGGCCAAGAAACTTCCCTGAGGCCACACAGCTGGTTGATTTCTATCCAAATTTTAAATCCACCTGTTTGTGGATCTATATCCTGAGCTCAACTGAGGCTGATCTCTGAGCGTATTTTGTTTGTTTGCTTACTTGTTTGTTTTTGCAGGCTTTGCACATGCAAGGCAAGTACTCTACAACTTGAGCTATGCCCTTCCACCTCCACCAGCCTTTTCTTTGTTTTTGAGACAGGGTCTCTCTGCTACTTTTACCAGGGCTGGCCTCAAACTCATGATCCTCCTGCCTCTTCCTCCCAAGTAGCTGGGATTACAGATGTGCACCACCAAGCCCAGCAGAACATGTGTTTTAGAACATCAAAGCCCCAAGCTCCCTTCTGGACTCATTCATTTCTTCAGGAAATATTTTTTGAAGGCCAGGCGCTGTGCTGGGCAATGAACCAGACAGACATGATAACTGCCAACATGGAGCTCGTCTTCAACAATACGTAGAAAACAAATGCAAGGTCATTCCATAGTGTGGGCAGAAAAGGGAATGAAGATAAGGTGATTGAGTGGACAGCCCTACCTTAGGAAAGTGGTCAAAGAATCACTTTCAAGATGCTGAAATTGTTTGAACTGAAACAGTTTTCCCTGAAAGAAAAAGTGGTAACTGTGCATAGATACAAGGGGAGAGCAGAAAGGACTCCTCACAAGAAAGAGCCTGGCTTATTCCCTGAGCAGAAAGGAGGCTGGAATGGAGGAGAACTGGGGACAGAGCTGTGGGGAACGTGGAGTGGCAGGCAGGTAGCTGTTCCCACAGGGAATTGTCGATTCTGCTCCAAATGGAATAGGAAGCCACTAATAATTTTGAAGCCAGGAAGTGATATGACCCAATTTACATTTTTCAAAGTAGCACGCTGGTTGCTGTGGGAGCAGGAGAGGAGGGTGGTAGAAATGAGACCAGAAGCAGGGAGGACAGTCCAAGCAAGGAGTGGCTTGGGTTACAGTGGTGGCAGGGGAAAGAGAGAAAGTAACAAATTCAAATACAGGGCTTGAGAGACTGGGGATATTACAGCTGAAAATGTTGCTATTGTCTTCCAAAATGGGGAAGCCAAAGAATTAAACAGCTTGGGCCAGGAAGATAGGGAAAGTATGAAACATTCTGGTTTGGACACAGCAGATTTGAAGTCCCTACTAGATAGCACTGGAGAGTTGGCAAACAGCCAGGTGAATACGTGGGGAGTCTGGAGGTTGGGAGAGAGGCCTATGTCTGGGTGCTCCAGAGAAAGTCGATGATTTCTCAGAGGCTAAAGGAGCTGGACCTGGGGAAGTGAACTGTGGCCCCTCTCTGCGCTCCTCTGTGACAGGGTGAGAGGAAAAGAGAGAAGCAAAGCAAAGAGCTTTGAAGTGCGGTGGCAGAACTCTCTTGGAAGCACCAGTTACTGAGACACAGGGCATGGGATGGAGGAGGCTAGGGATGGATGTCAGTTGACTGAATCCAGGTGGGAAGGGAGAGGCAAGCACCTTTACAGATTCTGTAAGGGAGTGACACTGTGGACAAGGGTGTCTAAGATGTGTCTAGAAGGCACTGACGTCAAGAGGTGGCAATGGACAGTGGGAAATGTGAAGTCATTAAAGAAAGAAAAAGGTCTGTGTAGCCTGGTATAGTAATGTACACCTGTAGTCCCAGCACTCAGGAGACTAAGGCAGGAGGATCCTGAGTTCTAGGCCAATCTGGACTACACAGTGAGACCCTGTCTCAGAAAACCAAAAATAAGTAAGCAAATAAAGAAAGAAAGAAAGACCTGTGTGAAGTCAAAGGTCTCTGGTTAGAGAGCCCTGTTTGGAGGCAGAGGCAGAGGATCACAGTTTGAGGCTAGCTGGGGCAAAATTAATGAGGCCGAAGCTGAAAAACAAACAAAAAAACAAAAGGACCTGCAGCATGGCTCAAATGGCAGCAAATAAGAGGCCCTGAGGCCCTGGTTAATTCCCTTGTACTGAAAAAAAGAAACAGTAATGGTCAGGAATCACTGACCATTAAGATGCAACACGACACACATTTGTATTCAGTAGGCCAAGGGTGGGTCTGAGACTGCCTTTCTCTCAGGCTCCCAGGGATGACAGTTGCTGGTATTTGAATAGCCAGCACCTGCTGTTTGTAGGTTGTTAAGCCATTACAGGACCTGGGCTTCGGCACCTGTCTTGACTGAGCAACAGTTTTTCAACTGTATAAGGATTAAGGTCCTTCTGCCTCTAACATTCTTATTCTGAGGTAAAGTAAAAAAAAAAATAAATAAATAGATTCAACTGATGGAAATGAATGACTACAGTCTGAAAGAAGTAACATGTTCAAGACCCATGTGCCAGACATTGTCCTGGCCCTCTTTTCCTGTCTTTCATTCACTCTGAGATGCATATGGTTCCACTTCAAACATCTCTGAAGCCAGGCATGGTGTCGTATGCCTGTAATCCCAGCACTTGGGATGCTGAGGCAGCAGAATGGCTGCTTTAAGGCCAGCCTGGGCTACACAGTGACACCTTGTCTCCAAAATAATTTAAAAATAAAAAATAAGTAAACATCTCTAAAGCAGTTGAGGTTTTTTTAATTGATGCATCTTAAACTCAGAGAAATATGACAGAATTTTGTTGCTAATTTTATATTATTTACAAAACTTGCCTTATAAAAGTCTACTTGTTCAAGTTTTGTATTATTTTGTAATTGTAGCGCTTCATGTTTTCTCAGTATTCAGAAGTCTCTGAAATCTGGCTGACCCCGCACTACAGTCATTGCTACTGAGAACTGAGGCCACCAAGTAGCCAGGCCTGGTGGCAGCAAAACAGATTTTTTTTTAAAGGATGGCAAAAGCCCCCAGCAGAACAAACTGATACTTAGAACGACAACTTCCTCACCCACATGAATACGCTGGTTGAAGAAGAGTGAGCACAGATTTGACATGTGTGTGTCACAACAGCAGGACAAGGATGCATGGCCACCGTGTCCCGTGCTAAGAACACGTGGGAAGAAGAACATAAGAAACTAAACTGTATCACAGAAAATAAAGCAGTAGACAGAGTCAACACCCATAATTCAGTTGTGGAACTGAAATGCACACAAAATCTGACGCTCACAAATGGAAAATTCCACACCTGACTAAAAATGCTGCGTAAAATCACCTTCCGGCTATGTGCCTAGGATGTATGTGGAACACAAACGAATCTCATGTTTAGTTTTGGGTCCCCTCCCCAAGATATCTTTTGTATTATCCAGTTACAAAAATTCCAAAATCTAAAATCTGAAACATTTCTGGTCCTAAGAATTCTGGATGAAGGATACTAAACTTGTATTAAAACAGCAGTCACTTAATTGTTGGGGAAAACTTTCTGACAGGATTCACAACACTCCTTTCAATAAAGCTGAATTGGAAAACTATACTGCTAGAGGCAGAAATGGAAGAATTCATACCCGTCAGCATGAGTTAAGGGAAACCCTTAGCTCGATCAACTTAATCAGCTGTGCGACTGGACACCAGGAAAGCAGGACATGTAGCCAGATCTCTGCATTTTGCACACCAAAGGCCAATTCTCTTAAGAGTAGAGAAAATGCAAAACTTTGAGTAGCTAGTGCAGGAGTTTCTACCAATTCACCTACTCAAACCGTTACGCTACCTCAGAGAAGTCAAACTGAGTTCATATTCACACCATCCAATGGAGCCAGGAAAAGAGGGCTTAAAATTAAGTATCAAGTATTTTTTAAATCTTTCTTTATACATTTTGATGACTGAAAGATTCCCTTTGACAACTTATTCTTAATCAGGTCAAGGATTACAATTAGGCTACTTAAGCAATCTAAAAGAGACTTTAAAAGAAAGTCAGATTAATAATCAACCTCTTTGCAGTCACTCAAAAATATTCCATCTTTTATAGAAAGTAAATGAACAATGGCACCACTGTCCAGTGGTCAGAGGATTAAATAAATGCTGCTCTCTGGTCCTGCCCATCCTGCCTAGCCACTGATATTGACTTTGGCCACATTTCTTTGACCAATTTTCCAAGAAGAGTTAATTGAGAAAAACAGCGAATGAATCACTGGAAAACAGTTGTATGGTTGCATTCATTTCGAGTGACACATTTTTAATAGGGCAAATGACTAGGGCTTGGGTGAAGCAGAAGGTGATGGGACCAGATCTCATCCCCACTGTCAAAAAGAATCACCCACAGGGAGGCACATGGCTGAGCGCCCAGGTTAAAGGTTAAGAGTGAGCCACGATTGTCCTCGTAGGCCAGTGACCAAGTAGGTCGCAAGTGAGCAGAAGCCTCCAGGCAGTCACACCAGTGGCGTTTTGGTGTTCCTGGCTACTGAACCAAGCAAGTCTCCACCAGAGGGTCTCTGACAGCAGCCTGTGAGCCAGGCCACTTGTGGGCCCCACATGTGTGACCGAGGGGCTGCTTCATGCAGGGTTAAGAGCATGGAACACAATTTTTCACGCAGATTCTGAACAGGCAGCCTGAGCAAACAGGTAAAGCCACAGAGGAGGGTATCCTCCTCTGTGTTCCCAAGGCACCTTAAAATCAGATAGTTGGAAATGCAGCCAAATGAACTGTGTGATGCCCTCACTCAATAAAGTCCACTCCAAATTTAAACTGCTACCAGGACTTCTGCTCTTGGACTGTTAGTTACTTGAGGAGCCAGTATGGATTCATCTTTGTAGGAAACAGTGAATGCCTTGGGTTTGTTGAATGAATAACAAAACTCTCAAAGTCCTAAATCAGGCCCTTTACATTTGCCTATGGTGTTTTGGGCATTCTTGAGAGAAAGGCACAAACTAATCCTATACAATTAGCTAGTGTTAACTTTTGGCCAAGTGATCTCCTATAAGTGACAACTAGATCTTAATCACAATTCATCTTTGAAGAACACTTACATATTTTACACATAAGAAAAACAAGGGTACAGGATTTTTACCTACACTATTTCATTTGATACCCATGCACACATTTTTTTCCCCAAAAGCCTAATCACTTCTTGATGGGGGAAAAAACTAAACCAACACAAACATCTGGGCTTTTACCCCAATTTTGAGTTGTCCCATCCCAGGGCCACCCGGTTTCTTGAGCCAAAGCATTTGCAGGCAAAAGGAAAAGTGACAGCCTGGAACAGGTCCCCTCTCGCATAGGCAAGCTGTCCCATTTGAGTTGCTAGCACACGGGGGCTGTTCTTACTCTTACCACAGAACCACAGAAGGTGACAAAGGCGTATGACAAGATTATCACTGAGTTACCTGTCTCAATGTCACTGTCAATATTCAGGGTCTCGTTAGAAGAGAACATGGTCCCCCTCTTGTAATGCTGCTTACAGACTTTTAAGCCAATTCTGTTGTCTTCATTTGGTCCATAGTCAAGGGTTGCCAGGGAACTGTTCTTTAGAAGACGGTACTATTTTTAAAATGAAGAATTAAAATAATAGTTAAATAAAAGCACAGGTGAGCTTTTAAAAGTTTGATCAGAAGTCACAGCGCTTGAAAAGCTCCTTGAGCTACCTTTTATTGTTATATCGTGTTGCTCAGCCACACTTGGCAATGTAAGACAGTGCACAGAAGCTTGGGCCAGGTTGTGTGGGACACCTTGCCTCACCGAGCCCCACACCAAAAAGATGTGCTAACCACGCTCCCCCTCCCTCAGTGCAAGCCAAGGCCCTGTCTTATCTCTCAGACTTTATCACAGGCTTTGGCCCCAAGTCACACTGTCCTCCAGGCAGTTCCTGGAGCTTCTGCCTCTGGCCTGGGCTGTTCTCTCTACTGGAACTTCAGTATCTACCTGCTCAGTTCACTTTATTAGGCCCCAAATATCACCACCCCAGTGAGGTGTGTCAAGAAAAAATGCAAACATCAAAATCCCACATTGTACCATGTAATACATAAAGTATAATTGTATCTGTCAATTAAAAATACAAATATAAGATGTAGATAAGTAAAAATTGGCAAATATCCATCCCATGCTCAGATGCTCCTTAACTCCTTCCAGGTTTTACTCCTTAGCAGTTCTTGGACCCAAACCATCCGCACGCCATGGTTTGCTACCACCGGCTTACGTTCACTCAACTTTACTATTTGGCTAGCTGTACCACCAGGGCTTCACTCCGCCCCCCCGCCCCATCTTCACAGGTGGAGCTTTTTTTTTTTTCCAGGAACCTTTTACCCAGGGACACAAAATTTGCAAATAACTGTATTGCTTATTTTAGGAGCAGCCAAGACCTCATACAGATGGAGAACAATTTGAAAATTTAATCTGATAACTACTCTAAGAGTCTTTGAAGCTGTTCCCCCATCCCTTGTTGTGTTCATCAATCTCCTTACCCAACTGTAATCAAAGTTCTTCCACATTAAAGGACCCCCAATGTGACTGGCTGAGGCAGCTTCATTTACCACAGCAAGTGAGACGTCCAGCGTTGCTTAGCAACATGTTTTGGGGATAGTATTTTAGGGAGCTGGCATTCGATACTGCACATTTCACTTGTCTAGCTCTCCCCTCTAGGAAGGCAGGGATTGCTATACCCCCAATGTCTAGAATAGTACTTCTTACATACCAGGAACTCAAATATTTTTGAATGAATGACAGAAAAAAAAAAAACCCAAAACATTAAGAACAAATTGGTTGCTGCTGGTTTATGCCTGTAATTGTAGCAGCTTGGGAAGTTGAGATCAGGCAGTTTGAGATCAGCCTGGCCAAAATGCCTGTGAAACCACATCTCAATGGGAAGAAGCTGGGTGAGCTGGTATGGGCCTGTTATCTCAGTGATGGCAGGAAACAGGAGAGCAGTCCAGGCCTGTCTGGGAAAAAGTGAGATTCTATCCCCAGAATAACCAGAGCAAAATGGGCTGGAGACTATAGAGTGCCTGCCTAGCAAGTGTGAGGCCTTCAGTTCAAACCCCAATACCACCAAAACAACAAAACAAAAAAAGCAAGAACAGTCTCTTTCCCCTAAATGCTTTCTTCAGCTCTACCAATCTGCTTTCTTATACTTGTCTGATATAACTATATTATATTCCATATTCTCAAGATTCAGGAAGGATTATGAACGGTAAAACAGCAAAATTGAGCTGTACACAGACTCTTAGATCGGGTCTCAAATCTTCATCAAGTCTGAGCATATAAATCTCTTGCTATTTGATCTGAGATAATCTCCCAAATGTAGTGGGTCTGAAGAAATAAATTTAAAAAATAAATCTTACAGAAAAAAAATCAAAATAGACAAACTCTATTGTGGAGCTCCAGAAATAATAACAACTTTTGGAAGACAATGCAAAATTTACATTTGAATATTTTAGTATATGTATAATTTTGGCTTGTTTGTTAAGACAACAAGGTCAAGTATCAAGAACAGGTCATTTTCAACTAAGCACTTACTTGATTAATAGCAAAAAAGATGCTGTCATAGGTGTCCTTTTGAGTGTATACACTGCAGCTGTAGTCATCCTCATCTACACCAGAATATCCTTTCAAAAACAAATGCTTAAAAGCAACACGGTTGTCTTCTTTGAAAGCAACCACCAACTGGTTACCTAATCCAAACCAAACAAGCTAGAAAAGAAAATCAAGTTGGAATGTGAGCTTTACCATTTACCAGGGGGAGAAAAAGCCCTCACCTCCAACCATCAGAAAAGTTATCTTAATTCATTGCTTTACACTAATAGCAACAATGTCAAAACACAAGTACCCCTTCAAAAGAGAACCTTGTTGGGCTCTGTCAACATTTCCAAGTAGCATGTGTTGGGGTCAAGAAAAAAATCTCAAAGTATGCCACCGTGATATGCTGAGTACCTTGAACTGCAGAAGCAGGCTGAGAGCCAAGGTCACTCTGACTTCACACCTCCTGTCTGTCTGGAAGGGCAGAGAAGGACTTTCGCTGCTGTTCCCTTACTGAAGAGAAATTCTTTTAGAGGAACGTAATTGTCATGAGCCCTTTCCCTATAATGTCATCAAACAGGGAAGAATAACTCATAGGAAAGATTAGAGTTGACCTCACACCCAGAGCACAGAGGAGATTTGTCCTGGGATATTGTAAGTTCTTCAGGTCCATTTACCTCCCCTATATCTCATTTATTGACTGTGTTAAAGTTCTCTAGAGAAACACAACCAATGGAACACATGTCATTATAAGAGCGGCTTTACTAGATTGGCTCATGTGATCAGAGTCTAGATTGTCCCACAATGTTCATCTGCAGCCTGAAGAGCCAGGGAAATATAGGTGCTCAGCTGGAGAAACCCAAGAGAGAGAGAACAATGCACCCTAGTCTGAGGTCAAAAGCCTGAACGCCCTGGAGAGCCACTTAAGTTCTGCTCAAAGGCTGAAGAACCTGGAATCCGAAGTCAGTGGTTAACAGCAGTTTAAAAAACAAAGCAAAGCAAAAAAAAAAAAACCACCCACCAAGCATAGAAGAACAAGCTTCTCCCTTCTGCAGGCCCCCAACCTACTGGACAGTGATGCCCACACTGAGGGAACATTTTCCCCACGCAGTTCACAGGATGCCCATGCCAATCTTCCCGAGAAACACCCTCACAAGCACACCTAGAAGTGTTTTACCAATTTTCCAGTCCAGTCGAACTGACCACCAAGATTAACCATCACACTCTTCCTCTCAAAGTGCTTACATCCTCACCATTCCTTCTTCCCAATGGAGAAGGGTATATACACATCGTGATGCCCCACGCACGTAATAAACATGAGTGCTTTCTCTCCTGGTAGTATCTCTAGCATCCATTTATTTCAACTAATACAAATGTCAGAGAACAAACCTCCAGAAAGTGGAGGGCAAATTCCTTTTGCTCCTACAACTGGAAAAATTACCACTTCCAATGGCTAACCACCCTAGTGGCCTTTAGGAAAGAAATAATCCATATTAACTAAGTCTAAATCCATTTTTTAAATTCTTCGTTTCAAAGCCAGGCATTGTGGCTCATGCCTGTAATCCTAATTCTTCAGGTGGTAGAGATCAGGAGGATTGTGGTTCAAAGTCATCCCGAGCAAATGGTTAATAAGACCCTATCTTGAAAATACCCAACACAGAAAGGGTTTGGCAGGGTGGCTCAAGTGGTAGAGCACCTGCCTAACATGTGTGAGAACCTGAGTTCAAACCCTAATGCCACAAAAAAAAGCTTTTTTGTTTCAAGTTAATTGTGTTCAAAATTGATTACTTTGTGAAGCATTAATGCATGTTGTTTTAATATTTAGAAATTGTATGTATTTTTTGAAATCACATTTGGCTTTTTTTTTTCTGGTAGGATTGGGGTTTGAACTCAGGACTTCATGCTTGCAAAGCAGGCACTCAACTGCTTGAGCCACACCTCCAGCCTACGTGTGACTTTTAAGAATGCTTTTAAAAAATGACCTACATAAATATTTACTCTAACTAGGATACAACAGAATTCAATTAATCCAGCTCTGCAAGAATTCTCATAGAACGCTTACCTACAAGTTTGTCCACCAAGATTTGCAGGATCAAAGTATGTGAAAGATTAACAGAGCTCAGGACTGGAAGCATGGCTCAAGTGGTAGAGCACCTGTCTAACAAGCACAAGGCCCTTATTTTAAACCCCAGTGGTATCATACACACACAAAAAGAATAACAGGGCTTGCTTTACCTTTACCTGGATGATGGCACAGTCAGCCATTGTCACCAAGCATCCACCTTCTCCTGATAAACACTTGCTTGTTCTCCCTGCCTTACATTGTATCCTGAAATAAGAATAAACATCCAGGGGGTCTCCTTATCAGGAGTGAATTTTTTTTATTGGAACCCAATAAATAGGGAAAATTAGCCAGCACCAAATGTTTACCAAAAAAACCTTTAAAAACTACATATATAGATACACACATGCATACACACAATATAACGTAAGTGTGATCTCTTTTTCACACACACTTCTTATGTGTACTCTCTCCTGCTCTCTCTCATACTCCCTGTACTCTTCTTCACACTCTTGCCCCCTCTGTCTCTCTCTCACATACACATAGGCAGAGATGGTGGTGAAGTCAACCTCCATATGTCCCATCACACATACCTTTCCCCACTCCCTAAGCTGTCTTATAAACCAAGGAGACTCTGGAAAGTTCTCCCCAAGGCCTTACCCAACTAAGTCAACAAAGCATTTTGGAACTGCTTCCTTAGCAAGTTTAATTAGATGACCCTGACAATTCTGTCATCTGTCATTCCATCACTCAATATACTATCTGCCTGATAATATATAGGATATCAATTGTGAAGAACTCAGGTGAAACTTAACGTTAATTTGCATATGCAAGCTGGTACAAGGGTTTCTAGTTGCCTATATTCTGAACCTTTTACATTTTGTCTATTTTTGAAGACTGAAAAATTAAAATAACCACTGTTTTTTCAGCAATTACTATGTGCCAGGAACTGCACTAACTGCTGTACCTGCATCACTTTGTTTGCCCCACAACCACCGTATGAAAACGTCACTACTGCTCTCCCCATTTTACATAACTGGAAACTGAGAGTTAGCCTCATTAAATTGCCCCAAGCCACTTCACTCTAGAAGGCAGATCTAACTCCAAAGCTATCTTTGTTATGCTACATGAATAATTTCCCTCTACTAACAAACTTGTCTCTGGGTCATCGCTTATAAAAAAGAATTTAAGCACCAGCTCCTCAGAATTAGGAAGGATAGCTACTGCTTGAGTGTCCATACATGATACTTCAGCATTTTTAATCTCATCATGTCACAGTCCTCAAATACCAAGTCAAATCGCTGAGCAATTGCTAAAAGCCCAGCTATTCAGCTCTTCTAAAGTAAGATACCCCAGGTCATCAACCTTGAGCTGAAAGTCAAGCAACTAAAGGTTACAAGTTCTTCCAAGCTTGTGCTATCTGTCGATAGTGCCTGTGGAGACTCCAGTAAAGATCAGGCTGCTGAAATAGAAAACCAGGCAGCAACGCATGTGTGCATGTGTACCTACTGTGATTCAAAGTGACCCTGTCCACCTCACCATTAGTACACGGAATTAAGTTCCTCCAGCACAGTTTTCTGAATGTGTGCCAGACAGAGGTCCAATGTGGGCAAGATCAACGCTGCATGGGTTGAATAATGATTCTTATCATTGAGTATGAGGCACTGTGCTCAAAATTGATAATTATTTTTCATTTGATTTCCCCGTACTGTATGGAGCAGCTATTATATTGGAGTCCATACAGACAGGAAGTTTTTTTTACTCAGGGAATGAAGTGTGGTCCATCACAATGCTAGCACCAAATACTGAGTCAACTGATGACTACAATACCACTTTATACATACGCAACCTGAAGCCCGGAATGTATCCAAGCTGGAACATCTGGAAAGTGTCAGAGTGAGGATCTGAACCCAGGCGTGTCTGACACCATAGCTTGTTTGTCCTCTTGCCCTCTTGGACATACTACCTCTTAAACTGAATATATTAGACCCTTCCCATGCTCATAATGAAGCTAAAGAAGCATGTGTGATGGTGCAGAAGTGGAGGTAGGGGGATAGACCCTATCTTAAATTAAAAACAAAACAAACAAACAAACAAAAAAACAGAACTGAAGCCAGAAAGGCTGGAGACATGGTTCAAGTGGTAGACTGCCTGCCTAGCAACATAAGGCCCTGAGTTCAAACTACAGTACTGCCAAAAACAAAATAAATCAAAACAATCAACAAAAAGTCTAGAGAATGGACAAATTGATCAAGAAAGAGACACTACTTGCTGATATTTAAAACCACCACCTTATTTAAACTCAAAGTCACAAATACAGTGCTGAGAAGAAGAGAACATGGAGTTGTGATCTCTGCTTGGAACCACCCCTATCTGGCATCAAGAGCGAGAAACTTCCAGGACTGGAGGTGTGGTTCAACTGGTAGAGCACCTACCTCACAAGTGTGAAGCCCTGAGATCAAAATGCAATGCCACAAAAAAGAAAAAGAAAGATATTTCTTCCAATCTAGTGGTCACTGAACAAGCCAAGGTCTTCACATAGAGCCCAGCATCAGGAAAGGCCTGGATTTTCATAGCATCTCTTAGGGGAGAGTACCCTGAAGAGAAAACTGCAATGTCTCTTTCTTGCTATGAAAGAACCATGTTCTCCTTACAGAGTGAGAGCAAAAGAGGATGAGGTTGACCAAATAACTTTACCTTCAAAAAGCAGGGGATATCAAAAACATATGTCTGTCCCACTAACTAGTACTTAAGTTTGCTGAGAATATGATTTGAGACAGAAAAAGATTAAGTCTGGAAAAAATTGTGAACTAAAGACTTCATTATTAAATTGATGTAGGAGGAAAAACTTTTGAGCCATGTTAAAAACAAGATAAAACTCTAACTATGTACAAGGAATACAGACAGAGATAGTGGAGCTAGGGAAAGAATGCAGACACTTCCCTGGAGATTATAAATTATTGTGGAATGCAGGTAGGCATGTTGGTTTTGAAGTCTCCTACTCAGCAACCTTAGACTTGAGAAATGGAATGCTAAAATACAGAAAAAAGAGGAGGAATGACAAGCTATCCAAGTAGCAAAGCTTAACAGAAAGAGGCTACAAAGGAATAAAAACTGTAATCTTTCTCAATTGTATTAGGGGAGACACAAAATATAAATGACCACTTCCTAGCAATACTTTATTATTAAAAGTAAAATTAGTGATGTAGACAGCAGAGGACTGGGGAAAACCACATGCTGAGTGGTTAGGAAAAGACGAGGGAGAGACAGGACTTTAAATGGCACCGGTAAGATGAGGGGGAAAGAATCACTTTGGACTTGAACAGGGCAGGGATGAGAACCATCATGTTGGTCTGGCTGCCTGGCATTTGCATAAAAAGCAGTAGATGAACCCTTGTTGGAAAGAAGTTGAAAGAGACTACGAAAATCTGCTATTTCGGGATATAAAGTCCCCATTTTCTCCTGGGAGAAGAGGAGTCTGTGGAAATTTCTGAGCAAGATAGTGACACAGTAAAGGTGAGTCTAAGAAAATCTAATGTGATATTAGCATTGAGACAAATGGTATATGTGCGTATAAGAAAGATAACAAAGACAAAAACTAGAGGAAGCCTGGTTCTGCAAACTTGGAGGTCAGAATCTGTATCCAGAATAGGCACAGAATGAGAGCAAGAGTGCATACAGAAGAGCCAGACTGTCAGAGCTCAAGTTAAGTACATTGCTTAACTCTTTTGTCCCAGTTTCTAACCCATATAAAGGAGATTCTAACTGAATCTACCTCACAGGGTTAGAGACAGGATGAAATGCATTAACACACATGTCACCAGTGTGTGGCACATGTCAAACACTATGGTATGTGTGAGCTGTCAGCAGCAGTATGATGCATCAATAGCTGTACCCCCAGCTCGATTCTCACCAAGTGAGATGCTTCACAAGTATTTTAAATTGAAGATAAAAGTCTATGCTAGAGGGTTGGAGGTATGGTTCAAGCAGTAGAATGTCTGCCTAATAAGCAGGAAGCCCTGAGTTCAAATTCTGATACTGCCAAAAAAAGTCTATGCTAGAGACAGATGGCGGGAATGGAAAAAAAAAACATAAATAAATGGTATTTTGAATGAAAAAAATGGGATTTAGTAGGTATCAGGACAAAGAAGGCTGAGTCAAAGATTGCAATAATGTGTTATGCCTGTGTAAGTTAAAGTTTTAGTAACACTATTAGATCAAAAAGTCAAAATTGAACCTGGTTTATCAAGACAAAAAATTGGGAAATAATTAACCAAATAACAGGAGGGGACATTATTTCTTCTCAATTAATACTAGCAATGCATCTAGTTTATAGATTGCCAGAACTAAAACCAAGAATTTAAAAAGCTAGTACACCTAGCTTTTAATGGTTTCTGTTTCTTGGCCTTGTTAACTTTTTTGAAGTTAAAACTCACTTTCCCTAAAGCTCATTGACCTAGGATGGCATGTCACGTAATAGGAAGACCTACTTACGAATGCAGAGCAAAGACACAACTTCAGTGACAGCAGAATTCCCCCTCTCATTTCTAGAGCTATATGGAGGTATTTTTAAGTATTTATTATTACATTTTAGAAATAACATGTTTGCACACTTTTCATTGGTAATAGAGTGATTATTTGCCAATAAAGCCAAATATTCCAACTGTTGTTGTTTTTTTTAATTTTAAATTTTTTTTTTTGATGGGACTGAAGTTTGAATTCAGGGCTTTGTGCTTGCAAAGCAGCCACTCTACTGCTTGAGTCATGCTTCCAGTCCATTTCGCCCTGGTTAATTTTAGAGATGGGGTCTTGCAAGCTATATGCCCAGACTGGCCTAGAACCTCAATCCTCTCGATGTCAGCCTCCCAAGTAGCTAGGATTACAGGCATGAGCCACTAATGCCCAGCCAATACTGTTTTTTTTTAAGAGCACATGTTTCAAATGTAGTTACCTCACAGAGGGATCTCCCCCAGACTGGTTCAGTATCACAGCCTAACAGCTAGACAGCAACTCTAATGGTTTTTTTGCTGCTGGTGGTAAACTGCTCAGCAGTATAAACTTAAACAAACGGTCAAGCATAGCCTGTGCACAGTCTTGATAGTGTCCAGTAACTGTCCTCACTTGGAGTACTCTGCTACTGATGAAAGGGAAACCTTAACATTCTATGCCTTAAGACAAAAAAAAAAAAAGCTGTTTCGAAAGCATATTTAAGTGAGGTGTATTTGAATGAAGATGATGGATAGGACTGACCAACTGGCCAGCCTATGGGCCTCATGCAGATATAGGAATTCAAATTCCACCCCCATATGGATCAACATTCACTTAGTATTTAGGACCTGGGAGAGGTAACTTCATGATCACTTACTAAAATAAGGTTGTCTTCCAAACTGAATTTCAACATACCATCTGCCCTCCAAACAAACATAATTTTACAGTTCTTTGAACTTGAGTATGGACTTTTTGAAACAAAAGTCAAGTAGAGAAACATAAAACAGTTCCCTTTTGGGGTAAGGAAAAGAATAGTATAAGGTACCTGCATGGTAACCATGACAATCTTCAAAATCTGCAAACCCAGTTTCCATGGGATCTGGCGTCTGGCTCGGTATTTCTCACAGGGGTTCATGAAGTAAAACTTCAGGTCTTCCCTGAGACATTCTTCTTTCACCTCAGAATCAAGATGCACCATTGTTTGGCTGCAACAGAAGGTCAATTTTTAAAGGAGTCCGTCCCTCAAAAAAGGTGCCACATGTCTTCCTGTTCACATGCTTCACCTGTGTGGGGGAGCATGGCTTGCTCCAACCAGTGAGCTCTTTTCTTCTGTAGAAATCTGAAAACTACTCCACCCTTTCTACTACGTGCCTCTCCACATAGCTGCCAACTTAATTCAAAATGGCCATTCTGGAGAGTTCTAAAATTAGAATTTTATTAGTTAGACTCATCAGTTCTGGCATCTTAATACACATCCTTGTGTGTATGCATGTATGTTAGTGTGCATATGACTGTGTGTGAATGCATAAGTGTCTGAGTGTGTTTGCAAGTGTGTGTATGAACAAAAACTACACGGGACATTTCCCTAACACATTTCTTTCAGGCCTGAAATGACATAAATTTAGTATAGAAACTAATGGGATTAAATTGCTATGGACACAAAGAATCTTTATTCTATAACTCTCCTGAGAAAGGTTATGTTGCCCCTTTTTGGATAAAACGTCAATAATTATAAGGTTCCAGAACATAAATAACTTGAAAAAGTAGAATAAAATATCTCTATTTATGCCTGGTCAGATTTTGTGGGCTTAGATTAGTAGTATTTTGTTTTTCCTGTTTCAGGGCTCTGGATTCAGAGATGGTTCGGTTAGGACACAAAGAACCAAAGGAGATGTGGCCATAAGACCGTGATTATAACCAATGAGACACATGTGGTCTTTCTGTTAGGAAGTCCCCAAAGTGAGATGTGCAAAACAATTCATTGGTGTATAGAAAACATTAGTGGCTCTATTTTATTCTTAATCTTAAAAGCTAAGAATCGGGACTAATATAACATAGAGTAAACATATATCACAAAAATTAATTAAATTACAGAGTACACATATAACAATATAACATAGGACAGTATTATATATGAAATATGTAACAGTAAGAATAATCATTTATAAATAAATATGCACACATTGGGGCTATTGTGTTGAATGTTTACTGCTGGGCCCATAATCAACAGATTGGCACTCATACTATAGATACAGACCATTGTCTGGCACTCCTAGAACTCATCTTACCACCACAGGGGAGCCTTCCAGAGACTGGAGCTAGCACAGAAAGTCAGACAAGAGATAGCCTGAAGCTATCTATCCCAAGACTTTCAGTTTGAGCCAGTAAATACCCTTGGAACTTAAGTCACTGTGAGTTAAATTTGTGTATGCTGCCATGGGAAGTGTCTTGATCAACAAATTCTAATAAATTAGGCCAGTCATTCAAGTTACACATTTCTTGGGGAAGTTTTTGCAATTGAGCATTATTCTTGGGAATCTTTTTAGTGGGAATACTTGAATAACATTTTTAAGCTGACTTATGATCTGTGGTACTTGCATTGACTAACAAGTTTAAAAGAAGCCCAAAAGGAAGTGACCCTTGAAAGCTCATGTTCAGCTGTTAATGATTTTCCACTTCTAATGTGAGTTATTTAGACACTCTGGGTTCCAGAATTAGTGGGCGATGTTAGCCAGAAAAGAGGATAGGAAAGAATAAAGGAGGGAAGGGGGAAAGAAAGGAAACGCAGGAAGAAAGGAGAGAGGGAAGTAAGGAGGGAGGGAGGAAGGAGAAAAGAAAACTCCTGCTTTTTGAGGGGGTAGGGAGGGAAGTGCCTGTAAAGACCTGAGTAGTCAAAAGAGAGCAGAGGGCTCCTGGACCAATCTCAGTGGAAGCCTATAAAAGTAAGATCCATTTCCATTCACACATTCGTGGAGTTGTGTGGCCTCAGGAAAGGGAAGCAAGAACCAAAACCCATCCAAGACCTAACAGGAGATCCTTCTCCCCAGTGGGCTGATGTTTCAGGAAAATAGCCAACACTGAACCTGCCTATCCCCGGCTTAAAGGATTACAGAGGACAGCAGAGTGGTTCCAAATCTTCTCGCCAAAGAAAGCAGAAATCATTAAAAAATAGACCCAGCCTGAGAAATGATGGCCACAACCAAGCCCTGTGAGCCTCACACCTGCATGATCAGGGAATTTGAAACCATGACCTTGCTTGAGCCTGGGGGTCCCAGACTGGAATTGCCCCTCATATTCTAGAAAACATGGAGGCCTCTCCAGAGGTTCATCCTAGGACTTGGAACACTCTAACAAATAACTTGAAAAACATGTTCAGTGAGTAGTTAAATTTAGAAACAGAACTGAGTATAATAGAATTAGACCCATTAGGAAAAAAACCATGCTTACCATACAACATGGGTAAAAATATTTCCAAGAAAAACTAGAGAAAACAAAATGCTTTTATTTATTTAATTTTTTTGGTAGGAGTGGAGTTTGAACTTGGGGCTTTGAGCTTGCAAAGCAGGTGGCTCTACCTCTGGATCCACGCCTCCAGGCCGATCTTCCCAATCTCTTCCTCCTAAGTAGCTAGGATTACAGGCGTGAACCATTGGTGCCCAGCAAAACAAAATGCTTTTAGAAATAAAAAATGATTACCACAATGAATCTCATTTCAAAAAAAATTGAGGGCTTTACAATATGTTTGCCCTCAGCCTACTATAGTCACCCCTGACTGAATTTGACTGACTTCATGAACACTTAATGTGCTGAGCGAGCATTGGACTGGATACTTGGTATACAAGACTGAATACGTCCCTTGGTATAGGAGAGAGACTTGTGAATGCATTAATGTCCAATGGGCAAATGAATGCTGTACCACAGCCTAAAACGTAAGTGCCACAGGAGGCTAGACTAACAACATCGAGGGACACATTTCCCAGAGCGAGATGACATCTTAACAGTCCAAGAGCAACATCCTCAAAGGTGGACTTCAGAGTCCTGAGAAGATTCCTAGAGGAAGCCCCCATGGATGTGTTTGAGCAAGACTGAGCTCAGCATTACCACCATCACTTTAGTGTCCTGTGTGGTTAACTTATCCATCCTGATGATCCCTACACACCTTTCTTGTAGCAAAACATGAGAAGGTGTGTACTAGATTCTTAGAACCCTGATGGTAAGGCCATAGAGCAGTCCCACCCCACCCCACTCCCACCATGCACCCACACACCAGCCTCTGTGTGAGAAATGCTGGACTGAAGGAAGAAGAGGTTGCTTTTGCCAAAGCAGTGGAGAAAGCACAGTGCATTTGGTCAACTACCTAGTGACCTTGAAAGCCAGGATCTGCTGAAGCCATTTTCCTACCTTCTAGGAGTTCACACGAAGGGAAGGAAGTGACACAAAAAGACAAAAGTACAGAGAGATGTCAAGAGCTATGCTGGGAGGTGCAGCGAGTGCTACAGGAACAGAAACAGTGCCTCATGTGCCCAACTGACTCAAGAAACCTTGCCATTCAGTGGTCAAGAAATGATAGTGATGGTCACATTATTCTAAGAAAATTAATTTATTAAGAAGTCTCAGGGAGCCAGGTGCCGGTGGCTATCCCCTGTAATCCTAGCTACTCAGGAGGCAGAGATCAGGAGGATCGTGGTTCCAGGTCAGCCCAGGCAAATAGTTCTCAAGATCCTATTTCAAAAAAACCCTTCACAAAAATAGGGCTGGTGGAGTGGCTCAAGGTGAAGGCCCTGAGTTCAAGCCCTAGTACCACAAAAAAAAAAAGTTGTCTCAGGGAAAGGCAGGGGAGGGAGAGAGAGAGAGACAGAGAGAGAAAGAAGGAGGAGAAGGAGGAGGAAGGAGAAGGTAAAGGAGGAGAGGAGAACAGGGGAGGGGAAGAAGGGAGAGGAAATCAATAGCAAAAGCTTCAAAAGGAGATTTTAAGGCTAGGATGTAGCATTTGCCTAGTTTTAAAATGTGTGAAGCCCTGGGTTTGCACCAAAAAAAAAAAAAAAGACAAAAAAATAAATTGTAAGTAATGAATCTCAAAAATCACTCATTATGTTACATTATTTCTATGACTATATCCTTCCAGAATTGTTTCTTAATTTATTTATAAGCAGTAGTAATACTTCTAATATGAATGATTAAAGAAAAAATTTAAGCTACTCTGAAAAACATTTCCCTTGAATACAGGAGACAATTGGCAAAATACAGGGTAGTACTGGTGGATTGTGATGATCTGACAGGATGACAGAAAACAGAAAAATATTAATTGATATAAAGAATTAAGGTGCTCAAGAAATAGTTCTCTCTCTCTCTCTCCCTCTCTCATACTGGGGCTTGAACTTAAGGCCTCACTCTTGCCAGGCAGGCTCTCTACCACTTGGTTTGTGTGCACAGCCCTTATTCTTTAATAAGTCTAAGTTTGAAAATAACATCTAAATTTGGGAGGAAATGCTAATGATATTTTAGTTCAAATATTCTAGTATCTCAAGGCAAAAATGTGAATGTGTAAGTTTTCTAAACTTCTCTGAGGACTCTTTCTTGCCCCCCCCATTCCCAATTTGTAAGTCTGCCCAGCTCCTAAGTACATGAATGTTATTAAACAGACACATTCACACAGACAGCTTATTGCTGTAACAAAAGTAAGATGGTATGAAAAGGATGGTGCAAAGCAGAGACAGAAGAACAAAAAGTAAAAGCCAAACAGGACCTATTGGCACAAAACATTTACTCATTTGATACACACTTTCCAACACCCTAAGATGTTAAGCATTAGCTAGGCATTTGATTCAGAAAGCTTGAAAGGTACAATCACAAATTCATAAGCAATAGTTAGGTCAGCAAACAGAACAAACTACAATCTCCATCACAAACAATGAACAGCACCAAAGGATTTAGAAAGAAGATAGAAAACATCACGAGTCATGGAAAGTAAAAGTGACTATAACATCAGACCAATCAAGGAGCATAAATCACGGAAGGTCTAATATACTGACTGGGCTGGATATGGTGCAGTGGGAGGCACAGGCAGGAGGATCGAGATCTGAGGCAGGCCCCATGCAAAAACACAAGATCCTATCCAAAAAATAACAAAAGGCAAAAAGGGCTGGGGAGTGGCTCAAGTGATAGAGCACCTGCCTAGCAAGCATGAGGCCATGAGTTCAAACCC